CAGAGCAATGTGACTGGAGAAAATCCACAACTGTGCTAGTGGGTTGATTCATGACAACACATGTCACTTGAGCTCCCAGTACTATCAATCTAACCTTCTAAAGGGACTATTCTATATTTGCATCTCTTCAAACCTCTGCCAACCTCCTACACCACTGAGGAAATAGAAGTGATTAGAGATTGCTGGGCATCTTTCCATCACCAATTTCACCTGACAGACTACACCCCAACCCCATTCTCTGGGTTCCCCACTTTAAGTCATGAGCTGCCCATGCTTCCACCCAAGCTGCCTCCCCACAGTGCACTGGATTCCATCCACACCCACCCTACTTTGTTAATGACTTCACTCCTGCAATTATTCTTTCTCTTTCCTCCTCCATCAATCCCTCCCTTTGCTATCGCCACATAAACATTTCCTAATATAGTTTATCTTAAAAAATGACATCCTGTTGGATATAGTTGCTCACACCCATAATCCTAGCACTTTGGGAGGCCAAGGCATGAAGATTACTTGAGGCCAGGAGTTCAAAAGGAGCCTGAGCAAGAGAGAGACCTTGTCTCTATAAAAAATAGAAAACATTAAGCTAGGCATGGTGGTACATGTCTGTAGTCCCAGTTACTTGGGAGGCTGAGGCAGGAGGATCACCTGAGCCCAGGAGTTTGAGGTTGCAGTGAGCTATGATGATACCACTGCACTGTAGCCCAGGTGACACAGTGAGATTCTGTCTCAAAAACAAAAACAAACAAACAAAAAACAGTAACGTAACAGAAGAGAAACCTGACAAACACTGTCTTGGCTAAGTGATCAAGGTTAAAATCAACAGTGATAAGTCAGGTTGATAGCAAGTACCCTTGATGTAATGGGATGAGATAAGAATGGCACTTTGCCTCTGTGGTTTTCCTCCCCCAAACCCACAGCCCTGTCTAAACAGAAAAACATCAGAGGAATCCAAATTGAAGGATGCCCTACAAAGTACCTGACCAACACTCCTCAAAACTGTCAAGGTCATCAAAACCAAAGTGACATGATGACTAAATGTAATGTGGTGTCCTGGATAGGATCCTGGAACGGGAAAAAAGTAAAAACTAAGGAAACCTGAATGAAGTGCAGACATTAGATGTCAATGTACCAATATTGGTTATTAATTGTGACATGTGTTCCACAGTAATGTTAATAATAGAGTAAACTGGGTGCAGGGAACTCTTAGTTTTACAACTTTTCTGTAAATCTAAAACTATTCTAAAATAAAAGTTTATTAAGCCCCCCGCCCCGCATGCACAAATCCTCCTGAACCATACCTTCCTCCAGCTCCACTCCATTCCACTTCTTTTCCCTCACAGGGAACATTCTCGAAAGAGCCGTGTATTGTTCTATGCCCCCCCCAGCCAGCTCATTCCTTAATCTACTCCAACTAGGCTGCTGTCCTTAACCCCAAGCAAAGCTGCTCTTGTTAAGGTCAATGACGGCCTGCCTCCATGTTGGGCCACTCCCAGAATCAATGTTTTCCACCGTCTTACCTTTCAGTCCAGCGTGTGGCCCAGTTCTCCATCTCTCCTTCCTGACACACCCTCTTCTCTTGGCTTTTGGGATACTACCCTCCTGGACTTTCTCCTATTCCTTGGCTGTTCCTCCTCTGACTTTTACCAGAGGTCCAGGCTCTGTCTTAGGACTTTGTCTTTGTTCTTTGTTGTCTATGCCCTTATCTTGTAGTTATATTTCATCCCATCTCATGCAATTAAGTACAACTTACCTACTGTCGATTCCCACATGGTACCTCTAGCCTTAACCCTATGAGGTAGGGACTCCTGTCATGCCCATGTGACAGAACAGTAGACACAGGTCTCAGATGTTAAGGAGCTTCCTTGAGGTTACACAGCAGGGCTGGGATTTGAACCCAGGTCTGTCTGACTCTAGGCCTTTGCCTCAAGCTGCCAGGTGCCCTGCTGCCCCCTCCCTCCATCCCAGCCCCTGTCCCTACTGGTCCTGGGGCCTCCTGCATTTGCTGCTCATTCCAGCTTCAGGCTTTTCTCCCCCGGTCCACTGCTGGAATGACCTCTTTTCTTGCCCCCACCTCTAATTGTCTTCTATCCGAGCTGCGGTGGGGAGTCCAGGCTGGTGTCGTCCAGCCTACTCTGAACTCTACAGGAGCTAGATCTACCCTAAAGCAGCCAAGGACTCATTTGCATCTACCATTATCATGCTTTCTGGCCCAAGTACAGCCACACACTTGGGGACAGGCAAGTACAGTAATGCTGGCACCATCGGGGAAAATGTGGGCCGTGGGCTGCCACCGTCACACACCATCTCATACAGTGATCTGAGTTACCCAGGGTGGCTTCTGTGTCCTCTCCTAGCTGATAAGGTTTTAGCGGGATCATGACTTCACAGAGTATCTAAAGAACTTCGTGTATTAGATGGGATTAGGGGAGTTACTTCAAAACCCTTTCTCCTGGGTCATGGGAGGCCAAGGAAGGTTCAGTTTAGGGATGAAGGAATTGATTAGACTTCACTGAGGTCACAGAGAGGCCAAGAAGTTCCCACAGGGGTTGCTGAGGTTAAAGGAACATTTGGAAGAAATAGGGGTGACCTGCGATCATGATCATTTTGAAAGAACTGAAAGTGCCCGAGGGACATGACAAGGAAGAGGCCAGGACTTGCCAGGCTGTGGTGGGAAGGGCGGGGTGGCAGGCCAAGTGCTGGCTGGGAAAGCGAGAAGAGAACTGACCTCGGGGCAGAGGACGGGGTCCCTCTCATTTGCATGGGCTCAGTCTCAGTCCCCGCAGTGCTAGTCTGGGCTTTGCCTTCCGCCCTGCCCTCAACTCACTCTGAGACTGCTCACTCTGTTTCCCTGGGCCTTGGTTTCCTCATCTCTAGAATGAGGAGGTTGAAAATACAAGTGAGAGGCTTGGGTGACATCATTTCTGGGTCCCTCTCAGCATCCTGAGTCAGTCTGAGATGACACATCCAGGGCTGTCTCACTGGCCCTGGGTCACCCCTGCCTCAGGAGAGGAAGAGCTAGGTTAACCCGACCATGTTATGTAGGCTTCCTGGTAAAGGTTCTTTTTCACAAAAAGTAAGAGATGGGTAGGGGTCCAGGAGAGGAAGGCTGTAGGTGGCTGAGTCTTGCATGTTGTAAAGGAAGTGAGTCTGCATTTCCTTGATCTCCAGATAAACCACAGTTCATCCCCATCCGCAGTGGAGATGGGCACCAGAGACCATGCTGCAGAACGGGATCAGTTTGGCCCTGCATGTGTCAGAGGGGACAGGCTTGGCCTCCACCAGGTGGGGCCTCCTGGTGCCTGGGGTCTGAGTCCCCCCTTAGAGAGCTTTCTCCCCTGGAGGCTGCCAACCAGGGCAAATGCTGAGATGCCACACCCACCGGGGGTTGCTTGCCTAGAGGGAACACATCTGCAGTGAGGAGGAGCCCCAGTGGCTGAAGGGTGCCCATTGTGTGCAGAAGTGTGTGTGCCTGCTTGGCTCCTCTGCCCTTGCACACCCGGCCATGCAGGCACATACCTACTCTGAAGCCACCTGCATTTCAAAAATAAAATATAAAATCAGGAGCAGGGCCAAACTGATTTAAGTCAGTCTTCACTGGATTGCTTGAGACAGAACATGAAGCAGTGACGGCTTGTGTGGGTCCTGTGTCTTATGCTTGAGTGCTGTAGGGAGGCTGAGACCCTTTAAGCCATCAGGAACCATGGTTTCGTTGGGCTCCCTCTTGATTGCTTGCTGGACTTGGGGGCAAGAGGAGCTGGGAGCTGCCTGGCACCCCCAGGGGCAGCAGGGCACACTCACAGCCTTCGTTATCGGTAAGGCCAGAGGTTTTGCCCAGGACAGCACTATGGACCCCATGGACCCACTGAAGCTGTTGGGGGCTGGGATGGTGCCCTTCCAGGCCTGAATCCTGAAGTTGCCAATGCTCAGAGGCATCTCTGCTCTTGAAGGATGCGCTGAGATGTGTCATTCACAGAAGAGCTTCAGAAAAGAATGGGGCTGGGAGCCTGGCAGAGCCCAGAAACCCAATCTGAAGTTCTGAGCCCCAAGTTTGGGAAGCGAAGAATGAGCAAAAGAACTAGGTCTAAAGGTTAAAGTAATAAAGACATGCATTTTCTATTTGAAAAAGATTCTGTGATAAGACCCTGTATTCAATCTCCCAGCCAGTAGTGTAGGATATGAAAGGAGAGAAGTTGTCCAAGAACTTATTTTTCCCATCAACAAGCTATGACTTGTGTAAATCACTTAGTAAGATTCTCAGTTTTTTCTGCAGAATGGGTGCTCATAGCATGGCTTAGATGGGATCAAGTGAGCTAACAAGGTAACATGTGAAACCACACCGCACGGACCAAAGTAGTACTAGGCACGATGCACGCTGCTGGAATGGCTAGTTCTAGGACTGAAAATATGAGCAGAGGGCAACAGGGTCTGCAGGTCACAATTTGGCAAAATAAAATTTAGGGAAGACATTGTGCTCATGTCTAATTCTGGGCTTGCACTGTACCATCTCTGGCCAAGGTTATCTTTGTTCTTCCCATCCACATTCTGCCTGGGAAGGCCCCATTCCACCCTATCCCCCTCCAAGATGAAGGTCTTTCTGACCACTAGAGCCCAGGCTTCCCCCTTCTCTTTGGACCCTCTATCCCAAAGTGCAGTGTGTGAACACACATGGACCAGCATGGCTCTCAAACTGCTTTGTGTCATTTTCTGAAAGCAGGGACCATGACTTCTTTGCTTGGGTTCCTCACAGGGTACAAAAAAGCGGCCCCGAGGAAGATGGAAAAATACCAGCAGAAATATGGAAAATACAATATGGCTTCTCAGTCTTAGATAACTGCCAAGTATTAACAACGGCCTGTCCTCCCTTCCCCAGCTTCCTGGACGCTCAACTCAGTTGGCTTGTATGTAAAGGTCAGTGCCAATGTTCGTTTTCTATAAACTAATATATACTTGACATTGGTGTAGCCCATGATAAATCCACAGGAAATAAGAGCCGCCAGCAGTGGTAGGATCAGAATACTTTAATAAGATATCAGTGTCAAAATACATTTCCTTATAAAGTTAAGCTCCCATATAGTTATAATGTTGTCAGTAGGAATTCGACAATATAATAATGTTCATGAAAACGTTACATTGACAGGTAAGGTTAATATGAAGCCTGGAATAGTTTTCAGAGTGTTTTAGTAAAACTGCAAGGGTAAAATGCCCTTAATGCCTGGGCAACACACACAGGAAATCAAATGCCAGCGTTTACGTGTCAGTAACCCTTCAAGTCCTGCTGCCGTGTGTTGGGCAACGCTGTGCTGCTAAAATATGATTGAGGCAACATTATCACATTTTTTTCTCATATAACTTAAATTGGTTTTGAAAGTTAGTTTTTGTTTTGGGCAATAAGTCCATCTGGGCTTACCAAATTCTTGGCCTGATGTGCTTTGTGTGTGTTTAGAATCTTCCTTGTACCCATGACAGAAAAGTTCCACATAATTGGTATTTAAAAACCAAAGGGGTTGTCCCTCTTACCCAGTGAGTTACAGAGTGCTCTGGGAACACCGTTTTCAGTGCTTTCTACCTATACATATCACCACCTGTGACCCGGACACTCCGCGAGGGCGGGAGGCTGGGGGGGAGAGGGGGGTGTCTGCCAGCTGCTCGCCGACAGGGGGCGCTGCACCTCGGCCCCGCCGTCCTCCCTGTGCGTGCCCGCCCGCATCCAGCGCCACTTGCTCCTAGGTCGTGAGCTAGGAGGACGTGGCCCGGATCACTACACCGTTGCTGAAGCCTTCGTTTACTTCCTGGAATTCCCATCTAGACCATTTCATGGTAGTCTGGAAATGCTCTCATGTGCCGCGTGAAAGACAGTCAGAGTCACAGAGCTCAGTGCACTTGAAGGGCTAGCAACAGAACCTTAAGAAAAGTCAAAGCACTTCCCCTCCCTCGGCATTCTGCCCACCCCCGCCCCGCGCCATCAGACCCTCCTGGCAGCGATAATAGTAATAATACATACATAGTACATAGCGAACGTGAGGAGACAGCGCGCAATTATCCCACTCAGTGACTCCACGTCTCGGATTGTTTTGTCACACCTATGGCCTATCGCAAAAGCAAGAAGCCACTAGAGAGACCTTGAGCAGTGTTAGTTGAGGCCCGCGGGAGTACTGTACAGTTCTGCAGTGTCCGCAACACCAAGAAAAATAAAATTAACAGCTTACAAAAAGATCTTAAAGTGATTTTGTGAGCAAGATTCCATTTCCTAGTTTTTAGATATTATAAAGTACCCATATATGATAAACATTTAACCCAGATATAAATTTTCTTTTTTAAAAAAAAACTCACTTATGTTTTTGAATAATAATAATAATAATAAATCCACCGAATGGGGGTGGGGGAAACACCAAACAGTTTAGGAAAAGCCACACTGTGCAACCTTCACAGATTAACCACAGACGTTGGAGTTCACCCTTCACATTTCTTTTTGTCCAAAAGTCATATCAAAATTAGAGCAAAGTAGAGGCTTAAAAAAAAAAAAAAAGAGTTGAAATTTACAATATGGTGATTAGTTTTACAAAAGAAAGAAGAAGGGCGTTGAAAGGGGGGGAGCCACAAATCAAGTTTGGAAATCGAAATCGTTTTGTTTCTCTTTGGCAACAACAATAACAAAAAATCTTTTTGATTAAATGAAGCCAAAGCTTTCCCTACAGAGAACAAACATACACCAAATGTGTTAGTATCAATGTTTGTGTGTGGGGGGGAGAGGGAAGGAAAGAAAACCTATGGATAATATAAATTAGAAGTAATTGAAGGTTGGGAGAAAAAAATCTCATAAAATTTAAGAACATTTTCATTGACAGAGCAAAACGGAACAGGTAAAACACTTGTGTATTTTAAAAATATAAAGTGAGCATCTCAGAAAAAAGGCCACTGCTTGGTGACCTGGGCAAGTCTGCCAGGTTAAGTCCATCCTGTAAAAAGTGTGCTGGCGTTAGAAATACCTAGTTGCAAATACAGACGGAGAGAGTGAAGCTGGTGGGACGGCGTCGGCAGGGCTGCTGCCGGGCGGGAGGCCTGGCTCAGGTGGCCTGGTCCAGGGCTCTGAGGAGGTCCCCTCCTTGCAGGAGTGTGGAGCTTCCCGGCACGGGCACGTTCACCTCACAGTCATATCTGGTCAGTTCGGGCAGCAGGTAGGGCTCAAACGAGGGCCCCAGCAGCCGGCTTGCTATGCCTGCAAGAATGGTTGGTATCGTATCATATTTGTAAAGGCCCAGACCAAACATTTGGAAGAGTGTCTGTTCCATAAGAGTCTGGCGGGGATGAGAAGGGCATGTGCAGAAAGAGGCGTGTCCAGTTTTTGTGACTGGTGGGTAGGGATGGGGCAGCCCTCATTTAACTCTGCTGCCTCAGTGTCATCTTTCCTGTGACCTGCTCCATGCTCAGGGATGGACCCCGCAGAGAATGCATCTGCCTCCAGACCCATCCCCCAGGTAGGGTGCTGAGACCCAAGGAAGGGAGAAGCTCCAGTTACAGATAGTGGCACAGGTGGGGGTGGGGGAGCTGGGTAGAAGGCCCTCATGAAGTCTCCCAGGGCAGGGAGGATGAGGCTTTCGGAAGAGTCTGGGTTGCACACCCTGTGCCTGTCGTGCACTGGCAGCGAGGGATTTCTGAACCATCTGGCACCTGCACGTACATGCAAATATACACGTGTGCACATGCATGCACACGCACATAGAACATACACACGGCCGCCTCTGAAATTCAAGGGCCTGAAAATCCAGTTTCTGATCAGCACCCTCAGCAGCCCCTCCTCCTTGCCCCTGGGCCTTTCTCAGAAAAGGTGGACAGAGGGGAGGCTCAGGCAGCAGCAAACGGCCTGGAAGTGGTGCATTCTGCTCCTCCAACGTGAGGGGCCTGCTTTCCCTTCCTTTCTTCACCTTGAACCTCCTAGCCCAGATCCTTCCTGGGGTCTACACCTGCCTCCCCAAGCTGGGACAGCTGCAATGGATCCATGCTCCCCATCCCTTGCTAAGTTCCCTCCTTCTTTTATTCATGGTCAGAAATAACCCTAAGTTGAAAAGAATATGATTTCCCCTTGATTTCAATATTCAAGGAAACTGTGGGCTTCATAACAGGAAGAATAAGACTGGCTACCTTCTACTGAACACACATGTATAGCAGTCACTGAACTCAACACTTGACATGCAAATCTCTCATCTAAACTTACATGGTCAACGGCAGAGCTGGAATTGGAGCCCTGGTGACACCACAGCCTGGACTCTGAAGCACAGAACTGTGATTTGGCCCAAAGTATGTTGCTGAGGAAATTGCCATCTTTTAGGACAGGGGTCTGGTATGTCTTTACAAAACCACAAATTATGTTCGTGCCAAACAGAAACCATTCTCGTGAAGAGATCTATGTTTTGCAAGATGCTGTCAGACTAAGGCAGGCCAGGGTCACAGGCATGCTGCAGCTGAACCTTCCAGAAAGCAAATCCTGTAAGGCAGGCCTGCCAGAGCTCTCAGTCTCCCCTCCCCATGGTGTGTTCTCTGGAATGTTCTCAGCCCAGCTCCTGCCTGAATTCAGTGGGGTCCCCAGGGTGTCAAAGGGGCTTTAGGCAGTAGGGCGACCTGAAGACCTGAGTAGAGGACTTGGGCTCTGGGACTCTCAAGGTGGAAGGAGCCCTGGAGGTCACCTGACCTGGGAGGGCTCCTTCTAAAGCACTGAGGACAGATGGCCTTCCAGCCTGTGCCGCACTACTTCTGGGGTAGGGGAGCTCGCTCCTCTGGGGTTAGCTGCCTTTCCCTGCAGCAAGCTTGTCCCCGCAGGGAGTCAAGATATGCTGCCTTGTGTAGTCTGCGCCTGTCCTCACCCCCACCGCTCCCCAACAGTTCCTGGCCACCCCTTCTTTTTTCTCCAAGCACTCTTGTCAGCCAATAACCCTCAGTTTTCAGAATAATGTCCTAGCGGTGGCCAAACCAGAGTGTGGCCTTCTTGTCTGCCTTCTCTTTTGCTTTCTCTAGCCTGAGTTTGAATTAGTTTTTTGCTGTTTTGTCATGTCTTAGACCCACCACCCAGGAGCCCTGTAACCAATATGTCAGAAGGAACTTGTGAAGAGGTACCCCAAATCTGAGGGGCCCTGAACCCTGGGAATCCAGCAGCTCTCTTGGTAAGTCATTGTCAACCACCCCCTGCACACTCCGGAAGAGAGACAAGGCGGGCTTGGCCCTAGGGGACCCAGCATCATGGCAGGCGGAGGAATCCTATGTATGGTACTCAGCATGGCACCTGGGAGCGGGCACTCAGCAAAGGCAATTATCATAAGTCTCTGATGCTTCTCCGAATGCTGAACTCCTGTTCTGGGAGGGTGCAGGCCCCTCATCTCCTTGCCCCCTCAGGCCTCTCACACACAGCAGACCCTAGGATATGGGTACCAGTGCCTGGGTGTACCCACCTGACACCTTGTGAGCCGGTGGCAGGCCATAGTCTTGGTATTGGGTGGCATAGCATGGCAGGGGGAACCCACTCTTGGCATTCTCGCCAGGACTCATGGTAGACGGTGGCTGTGGCGGTGGCAGGTGTCTCAGGGGCTGGTCCAGGCCCCGCATGGGGTTTTGGGGAAACTCATCTGAAAGACCAAAGCCAGAGAGTGAGGGTGGCACTGGCCCAAAGAGGATGGGAAGGGCCGCAAAGACTCCAGCATCCCCTTTCCTTCACAAAGGTGCTCCGAGCCACCGGGACTACAGCCGGCCCCAGGGCCTCAAGCCCAGAGATTTCTGACAGCCTCACCCAAGCCAGAGCTGAAGGCAGGGCAGAGGACACTGTCCATTCTGATGGGGCCCAGAGATGCAGGTGAGGCCAGCGGTGAGTGAGCAGGGGAACCAGGATGGGCCCCTGAGCCACAGCCCCTCCAGCAGAACCCCCAGAGGCCCCGGCCCACTGCTCACCATTGGGGACGTTTGTATTCAGTGGTTTGTCGGGCATCAAAGGGCAGCTCCCACCCCTGAGGTTCTTCATCCGTTTCCACATCAGATGTGAAGTGCTGCTGCCCGGTGGATCCACCTGGGTGTGGGAAGGGCAGATGTAGAGGGGAGAGGGCCGGGAACCAGTCCCCAGGGTGGGCAGGTGTGGACGGCTCCACACCCCACCCTCCCACCCAGCCTACCCTGTGGCCAGTCAGGGGATGGCTCACCCCACTCATGTCCTGGAAGGCTTGTTCCTCATACTCCAGCTGTCGCTTCAGCTTCAGCTTGTTGGAGAGGGCTACCATGGCTGGGCTCATCACATCTGGGCCCCGAGACCCATAGCCCTTTGCAGACCTGCCAAGCCCAAGAGAGCGGGCCGTGAGGGAGTCTGGAGCCCAGTGCCACCCCTGCCTGCGCCTGGTCTCGAGGCCTTTCCGGACCCAATACTCATGACTGTGGCAACTCGAAGACCCCGAGTGCTGAGTCTATGGGCTGAGTACCTGCCCTGCCTCCCTCCTCGGATGTGAATGGCTCGTGCCACCTCCCTGCACACGTGCCCACCTCAGCTGTCCCCAGCTGGGCAACGTCTGCCTTGAGGAGGGTTTTTCCTGCCCCTGTCTCTCCCTTGTCATGCCCAAACCACTCCCCTCCCTTTTGCTCCCACTGAAGACCAGTCAGGTACTCTGTGAAGGGCAGGTACCCCAGACAAGCATCCCCAGTGGACCCTGGGAGCTGCAAGTCATGGACCAACCACTGTGGTTCGGCCCAGCGAGCTGTCAGCTGGGTGAAATGGGGCACGTGGGGAGAGCTGAAGGGGAAGGCAACACTGGCACCTGGGCACAGCCCAGAGAGGCTGTTGCGGTGGGGGCCCCAAGCAGTCAGAAGTTAGGGAGGAGGCATGGGCATCTTTTCACTTTCTCAACCAGGGTTTCAGGGGAGAATTGAGAATATAGTCACCCCAGTAATTTTCTGTGTTCTGGGGCTCAGATGATGAACCCTGGGTGAGAAAGGCACATTTGGGTGTTCTGAAGGGAGACAGCCATACAGCTTCAGGACTCTCAATAAGCCCCTTCTTTCCTTTTCCTGTCCTCATCCCTGATAAGAACCGGCCTCACTTACTTTGAGGTGATCCCCCCAAAGCCTGAGCTGTCAAAGTGCAGAGAAGGGCTAAATGGAGTGTCAGCTATCCCCTAGCCTAGTGGTACCTCCCCGCTCAGCACAGCTGCACTGGTGCCACTGACCTTGTCTTGAACATGGAGACGTGAGGCGAGGAGATGGGGGGCCCCACTGGCGGTGATCCCAAGGACTCCGTGTGCTGATCCCCAATGGGCCACTTCGTGGGCCCGAAATGTAATGGTGGATCCGGGGGCCACTGTGTGTTGGATCTGCCCCCCATGGAAGAGAGAGGGGTGCTAGCCTGGCCACAGCATGGTGGCAGGGACGCCTTGGTTCCAGCATCAAAGAAGATAGAGGACATGGGCCGGTGCTCGGGCTCTGTCTTCTTGCTTCCCAGCTGCTGCTGATACTTGTCCAGGAGGAAGGGACCGTGGGATGTGGCAGGGGCCAGTGGCTGGAAGATGTTTGTCATGGTACTGAAGCAGTGCTGGGGGGTGGGCTGCGGGCTCTCTGGCAAGAGCTGCTCCTCTGGGCAGATGGGGCTCAGCTGGAAGTCTTCCCCGTCCATGGGGATGTAGGGTGCCAGTGTCTCCAAGTCCAGCTCGTTGAAGTCCGTCTAGGGAAGCAAAGCACGGCTGAGAGGCTCAGGATTGGCTCAGCCTCATGAACGCTATTCCAGCTTAGCCCCTTATGTTTCCCAGGCCCCTGCCAGAGCCATTTATCCCAAGCACAGCTTCTCAAACACCTCCACTCGCTCCCTAGGGCCTACCAGGAAGGCCTTCTATCTCGTGACACTAGCCTTTTGCCACATTTGTCCCCTCTACACCCTGTACTATGAATCTCCATGTTCCACACTGGTGCCACCTCCCCAACTGACCAGAAACTCCCCTCTCTCCAGTGGCCAAGCCAGCCCACCTCTTCCATAAAGCCACCCTGCCTACTCCAGCCTGCGCTGGTTCTCCCTTGACACTTGGGCATTGAGGACGGCTTGTCCTCATCTCCCTCCTCTGCCCTGGCATGGACCTAAGCAAGCAGGAAGTGCCTGAGGTATATCTGTGGACTCGCCCTGAGTACAGCCAGGCCCAGGCGCAGAGGGACTTTTGTTCCAATTAGTAGATACTCAGAGAGCATCCCTTAGGTTTCCAGTGACACGATGACAGTACAGGGAACACTCAATGGAGATGCAGAAGCCAGTTTCTGCCTCCAGAGACTGACGCCCTCCCTGGGGCAATGCTGCTTACTAATGAGTACAACTCTAGGAAGTGTTGAAGGAGCAGCAGCAGCCAGCTGTGATCAAGCACTAAGTGATAAATCCTATAGGAGAGAGAGGGCAACGGAGAAGCTGAAACAGGAAGGTTTGCTAAAGATCTGGAATTAGTGCCAGGTAAGAGACAGATTACAAACTGAGGAGCAAGGTGGACATCTGGACAGACAGGCCCAACTAAGACAACGGGGATTCGTGGTCTTCCCTGAGGTTTTGTGAACATGCACCCATCCGCCCTCTTCCTCCCTGGGTGCATAGTTTTTGCAAAAACATTAGGCCTTATGTAATAATGAATGTGTTCCTGAAAAGTTGTAGGTAAATGAAAATGTATCAAATAGATGTCAAACTGCATTTCAAATAAAATTACTAAAAAAAAAATCCCAAGATGAATGTCTTTGTGAAGAGATGAATTGTCCCCTATGTTTACAAATGTTTGATGAATCTGGATATGGTTTTGAAATGTAGAGCCTCCTTAAATTTTAAGTGCTATAGTTTTTTCGTGTGCACTGAGAAAGTTATCCAAGTAGGAGATAAATTGTGAGTTAATAAGGAACTAGATTTGACAGAGGGTGAACACAGGCTCCACTTCCCTACACCCACACCCATTTGGGGGACCTGGGCCTTTGCCCCGCCAATCAGCGGGTACGAACCTGCCTGATCTTCTGCATGACACCTACCTGGGTGCTGCATTGGTCCTTTGCTTCTGTATCCATGGCAAAGAGCTTCTCAATCACTTCAATCTTCAGGTTATCATCCAGAGAGGAGTAATAGTCTCCAGGGCTGCTGGGCTGGGGGCCAGGAAGGAGGGGGATGCAGTCAAGGATATGGCCCTAGTCTCCTCAGAAGTCCAGCACAGAAGGAGAACTACATCCTCGGACCCACAGATTCAACTCTATTCCACCAAATAAATATTTGTAGAGGGAACACTACTAACGAGCCATGTGAATTGTGTCAATGCATCAACGTCTCTGAATCTCAGTCTCCTCAGCATAAAACGAGGCTAGCATCACTTCACAGGTTGTCTTGAGCAAACAGGAAAAGGCTTCGACCCTCAGGGCTCTGTAAACTACACCCTGCACAAGACGGGCACTGCCCTGCACTGCGGCTGACCTTGGGGCTCAAAGCCCTTCAAGGAACTTATTTCAGTGGGGGTGGGTGATGGACACTAAAAAGCCAGGAAACACCTCTAATACCTGGCAGGTAAGCGCCCTGGCCACTCTAGGGGGTTCTGTGATCACGTGAGGAGGAAGAAGACAGCACTTCTGTCCCAAACAAGGAGTCAGGGGAGGAGCCCACCCTCTCCACATCCTCACCCAAAGCAGGCGGGGGGCGCTTACCGTGGAACAGCTGCTGTTGCTGGTGGCACTGGGGGTGGTGCTGCCCGCGGCAGCTGCCTGGGGCACGGTGAAGGCAGGCAGGCTCCCGGCCTCGCTCTGGGTGCTGTGGCTCCTCACTTCTGCCCCCCATGGCTGGCTTGGGGGCAGGATGGCCTTGCCGTAGGCTGAGGACTCCTCGAAGTTCTGGCACCCTGTGGAGACAAGGACCTAGTGGTGAGCTCCCACAACCCCTGGCTCACCCCAAGGCAGAAGTAGTCCAAATGTTGCACAAAACGTCCTACAAGGGTCTGGAAGGGCTGAGAGCCCTGCTGGGGACCACACTGACTTGCATTCCAAGGAACAGGCAGGCATTGTAATGAAGTTGTACACTTGAGGGCTTAATCCTGGGCCTCAATCTGTTCTCTGTCTGTGTTTCTGGAATTATCCCTCTCAGCCGCATTCTAGTTCAGCCCCCCCACCTAAACAAGCAATCTGTCCTTTGAGACCCAGGTAGAATCTGCCCTCTCTTTGTGATAACTCCCCTTCTTCTCATCTCGGGCCCTCACTGACTGTGGTTTAGAATCCACCTCTCGGGGGGTGTCCTCTCTTAACCCCTCCTTGCTCAGCACTCCATGGGGTCAGATCTGGGAGGGTGTTGCTCAGTGGCAGGTGTATATATTGCTCGTTTGTGCCCAGCAGCGCCTGGCCTCTAACAGGTGATTAGCAATAGTGGGGAAGGGGCAGGGTATCTTTGGTTAAGGAAAGGTTGCAGCCAGGCAGGCCTGGTAAGGTAAGAACTCTCCCCCACCCCCAAAGGGGATCCATGGGCCCAGCTCAGCTAAGAAGCACCCACCGAAATCCAGAGAAATGATGGCATCTCCCGGGGTTGGGGCCAGCTGGGCCAGCTCCTCAGGCTCCTCCTTTAGCTTGGTGAACAGGAAGTTACTCTTGTCAGACACAGCTACGTCACCACTGCTGTCAAAGATGCTGTTCATTGACATCAGGTGAGGCTTGAAGAGGGACTCTGTCTGGTCCATGGAGAACACCACATCGTTCTTTTCAATCTCGCTAATGGGACAAGAGAGCCGGTCAGGCCTCCCACATTTTCTAGCAAGATCCTTCTGCTCCCGCAGACACATGAAAACCCTGATAGCTAAGCTCTCAAACAAAAAGACGGTGGGGACCCTGTGTGCTGGCATTTTGTAAAGAACTACACAATGGAAGTGTGACTTGTGGGGGAGCGACCATGAGAGCAGCCCCTGAACGGGTCTGTTTCGATGCTGTTTACTCTCAGACTTGAGCAGGGTGGTGTGCAGAGGCGGAATGCTTTTGCTGGCTTGTTTCACCCTAGCCATGAATTTCTCTACCTTTCTTACCAGATGTTACAGGGTAAAGGTGTTACATTTTTTCCCCCAGAAAGCAAGAGCAATTCTTTTCCCTTTTTCCTCATTCAGAAAATATTCAAGTGACTGTGTGCCATCTGCCTCCCCCCTCCCCTGTCAGAGGCGTGGCATAAATGGCAGGTGGGGTGGGGAGAAGGGCAGAGCAAACTCTCAAGTGTCCCACTGTTCCCAAGCGTCCAAGGGAGGCTGAGACCCAGCGCAGTGAAGAGCTCCAGGATGTGGTACCGTGGGCCCGCCCTCCCCGCCTCGCACCCTCCCACTCTCCCACCCTCCCACCCTCCCACTCTCCCAGGAGCTTGGGCGCCCACACCCGGCCGCCGCAAGGCCCCGCCCTCTCGCGCTCACCTCAGGACATAGTTGACGCACATGACGCATTGGGGCTGCAGGTTGCGAGGGTTGTAGATGACGGTCCCCTGGGTCTCCAGCCACACGTAGCCCCCGTGCTTGGCGAGCATGCGGTACTGGCCACTCACCACCTGCCCCTTGGTGCACACTGTGGGAGGAGAAACGGAGCAGGGCTCAGGAGGCGGGGGAGCGGCGGGAGACCCCACGGGAGGGCAGTCTGCAGGTGGGTGGACGGGACGGGGCGCCAGGACAGCGAGGACCAGGGAAAGTGACCTGGACGAGAGCTTGGAGATCATCCCAGCTAGCTCTCCATTTTAAATACAAGAAAAGGAGGTTGAGAGAGGTTAAGTGACTCGCCCGAGGCTGTCTAGTGAGACAGTGGCCCATCACCCATCCCTTTACCAGTGGCTCACAAGACCAGCTCAGCAGTAAGCAAGAACCTGCCCTATTTTCCTCAGGGGGTCCATGCCGGGTGAGGAAGGGCCGCCTCCGCCAAACTCCCAGGCCGTGGGGACTCACAAGAAGGCTACTTGGAGACAGCCCAACCTCGTTGCAGACCCACCACCAATGCCCTGCTTGTGAATAAAAGCTTTTTTTTTTTATTAACACACTTGATTTTTCCAGGTTATTGGCCATTGGTTATGGCCTTTTGGGCCATAGAAGGTTTGTGACCCACAGCAAGGCAGAGGCAAACCACCCCACCCTTTCTAAGCGGGGTGGAGAAAGGGATGGGACGCCAGCAGCCTACACAGTTTCTTTATAAGACCCGGTAAGTCCTTTACACTCCCTCCAACTGCCCAGTGAGGCTTCCAGATTGTTCTAAATGGTCGTTTAAAAGGTGTTTTTACCATCTAAAAACATTGGGGAGAGAGTTCCACACCCCAGACTCTCCTTCTCCCCCGTCCAGAGTATTCTATCCACTCCCATTAAAAAGGAATCAATATATCCCTTTACATTAAGGACTACTAATGTTAGAATTTCTGGTATTTTTCTGGACTCCCCATTGACTTTCATTCTTTGGGATTCATTCTTCAGAACTCTAGCTTAGAAGAGCATTGGGAAGAGGTATGGTGGAAGGATCAGGAAATCTTGCTAGCATGGAGACTTCGGGAAAGAAACAATTCTTCTTGGTTTTGGTTTTTCTCCTCTGCAAAATGGGACATCGATGATAATAGTAGCAATGATAATAACTATCATTATTAGCTACCCACTATACCACTGCTAGTTGTACTGAGCATCAAATGTACTTGCCTGGCTTATCAGGCACACACACATTGACTGAATGCCGTGGACAAATGTTATACAGGAAAAGCTACCTCCTTCCCAAAGCTACTAATATGTATGGTGCCCAGGCCCTATCACTGACAGTTTGTAACATGTTTGTAGATGATGTCCTGAAGCATCCCCGTGGGAGAATATCCAGGTTTTCTGTAAATACAGACAGTCTCCTCGGTTCTTCTGGTAGGCTCATGGGCCACCTCCCCATTCACCAGCCCCATACAGCTGAGGAATGCAGCTTGGTTTGTACTAATGCTGCCTGTAATCCTTTACACTTATGTTTTGCTTGGCACATTTTACCCTCTTAGAAAATTTAACAAGCACTTGTAAGGTGCAGCAGTGACTGTAACTTACACTGAGTAGTGCTTTGCAGTTTCCAAAACTGTCTCATAAGATGAATTCATCTCTGCAAAGCAGTTAGAACAGTGTCTGGCACATAAAGCACTTCAGAAGGGCCAGTGTCGCTGTTACCTCGTTTAATAAGGAACATCATCAGGTATCTATTATTATTCCTATTTTACAGTGAAGAAATTGAGGCTGAAAACTATTGAGTGATTTGCTGAAAATTCCCCTCAGTGGAAACAGCAGGCAGAATTATAGTCCCAATTAAAGACTTTGTCTAGGCTTTTTTTGTTTTTCATTTTAAAAAATCAACTTTATTGGGGTTTAATTTATCTTCCATCAAAACTGCACCCATTTTAAGCACACAGTTTAATGAGTTTTGACAAATGTATGCACCTATGTAACTATCACCATGGTGAAGGTACAGAACTTTTCCATCACCCCCAAAATTCCTCATGCCTCTTGGCAGCTACTCCTCATTCCCACCCATGGTTCCAGGCAACCACTGACCTGCTTTTTGTCACTATATATTGGAATTGTCTTTTCTAGATTTTCATATAAGTGGAATCATACAGGAGTATTTACTTTTTGCCTGGCTTCTTTATACTCAGCATGATTCTGAGATTCAACATGTTGTTGTAGGTATTGTGGTTCATTCCTTTTCATCACTGAGTAGTAGTAGTCCATTGCATGGATGTACCAAAATTAGTTTATTAACCACTTCAGTGCGAGCATCGACTATAGTCAATAGCCACAGATAAACATACACAACCGAGCATCGACTTAAGCCGACAGCTGTGATATGACTTTTCTAATTTTTCATTTATCAAAATAAAATTGTGAACATTTAAAAATAACGTAATAAAAACATATATATATATGTTACCTATTCTGATTTACATTACAAGTAAAGCTGCCTGTAAAGTAAAACAAGCTTTCAGTGCTTTAAAGCTTTCCTCATCAAACAAGAGCAAAACGGATTCGTCGTCAATGCACAGCACAAACTATCGTGCAGACTGTGAGTGCCGGCTGTGGGCAAGGTTTCGCGACCGGTAAGCGCCGTACCGAAGTGGTTAAATCGCCTGTTGATGGGTGTTTGAGTTGTTTTCAGTTTTTGGTTATTATGAACAAAGTTGCTATATATATTTGTGTATAAATCTTTGTATGGACAAGTATTTTCATTTCTTGTGGGTGCAGCTAGGAGGGTAATTGCTGGGTTATATGTTAAATATAGGTTTACTTTATAAGAAGCTGCCAAATTATTTTCCAAAGTAGTTGTATCATCTTAGTTAAGTCTTTTTGACAAAATGCTATGCTGTAGAGAAGATAAATATATCTTCTTTTAACACAAGGAAACAGGCCAGAGGATTGTGACTTGCTTAACATCACACAGGATGAATGACAGAGTCTAGGCTAGACAACAGGTCTTATGGTTCCTAGCACAATGTTCTCTTACTATAATACCTTGAGCCACATCTCACTGGGAAGATTAAATTTGCTGTTGTCACTGTCCTAAGCCATTGTGGGCTCCTCTGCCTAGGAAATAACTTTTGTCCTCTCAGCTCTCCCTTTATCCACGCTAGTGAGGCTTCCCTGCTGCAGTAAAATGACTCTTTGCACAATTTCAAGTGCCTGGAGTTAACTTATTTAGACGGTTCTTAATGCAAACCCAATTCAGGCTCTTATTCTTTTTGATCAAACAGTGCAGCAAGCAAAGGTTTTAACTGCATTTCTAGCAATTGCAGGCGAGGGCCTGTTTTGTCAGGAGAATATAATTAATGCCAGCTTTCTAATCATCTGCTCATTAATGCCAGCCATGGTGAGGGGCCTGCTACTTGGTTGATAGGCTTTTTATGGTTTTTAATCTTGTTTTCTTAAGAGCACATAATATCCTCAATACAACAAAGAGAAGCCAGCCTCCAACCCCCGCCCTCTGAGGATAACAATGTATAAATTATTAATCCATTTGGAAATTATGGCTTTCAATGATCTAAATCTGGTTTTGGACTGAGCTTCCCCAGTCATTTCAACCATACACCTTCACAGGCTAAGACACGCACATGCATAAATTTGGGAACACAGTGTGTGAACCTAGACCAGCCTAAAACCTGAGCCTTCACTTATTCCACAGCATGAACGTGAGTCTGAAGTGCAACTTTATTTGCAAAAACCCAAAGATAAATGGAGAGAGAAAGAGAGGCTCCTGTCATACCTGACATTAAATCAATTCCAGCCCATGTAGATCTCCCGTTGCTGGATGTGGGCTTGCTGGCTGGGCACAGGCTCAGAGCTCAAGGGGACTTTACTTGGCTCCATCAGGGCAAGACGAGAGCCTGTGATTTCGGTCTGGGCTGTCAATTACCTTTAAGTGTACCTAATGCTTAAATACATGGATTCACAGTAAAAAGCACCATAGTTCCCCTGGAGTCAGCAGAAAACCAATAAGAAAAATTTTTAGCCCAGTCCTTTTTATGGATCAAGGATATTCTAAGAAGAAGAAGAAGAAGAAGGGGGAAAAGCCCTTTTTATATGCCAAGCGAGAAGTCATAATTTTTGTTCCCTTTGACAGTAGCTTCTTCCGCTTTCCCATCCTAGAAGATAAAGTACAATGATGTTGTCCTCCAAGAATTCCCATAAACTTTATGTTTCTTCCCTGCTTTGGCTTCACCCTTGGCTTGTAAGGAAGTCTAGTCTTTCCCCCAATTTCACATCTAAAAGCAGGAAGGCCCAGACAGCCAGGCCCTGGGGAATCAGTATGTCAGCTGGGCCAGAGCCAGGGCCCCTGCGTCCCAGTGCCTGGATGATTCTGTCAACCTGCCTTTGGGAGCAAGAACCCCTCGGGGACCAGAAAAGTATGGGGGAATCCCAAAGGGAAGGCTGGAACCAGATCCTCCGATCTCAAAGCTGAGGCAGGTTATGTAGGGCTGGGCCACATTCATGGGCATACAAGAGTACCTCCACCTTCCTCTCCCAAACTGTGGTCCCTGAATGGGGCTGAATCTAGTTTGTTTTTTGTTTGGTTTGGTTTGGTTTTGCCAGAGAGCACAGTAAGAAACTTCTCCGAGATATCATAATGAGCCCTGTTGTCAGATCAAATTCAAAAGCCACAGGGAAGCAGGGGAACCAATCAGAAGGAGACGCCACTCCGTAAGACAGCATTAACTGTGCTGGCAGCCAGCTTACAGGATTGCCGATCTGTCCTAAGGCTGGACTAGGTGGATGGATTTAGGAACAATGGAAACATAGATGCACATCCATTTTTTTCATTGCCAGCAGGGCCGTTGGGAATCTTTTCAGACTTAATTTGCCCATTTGTAATCCTTCTACTGTCCCCTCAGCACCACCACTGTGGGCACTTGTTTTGAAGCATTCTTTTCCAAATGTAAGTTTTACCCATGGATTTATTATTCTTTAGTGCTTGTATTGTACCAGACACTGTGCGAGATACTGAGGCTAAAGATATGAAGATAGGAGCCACCCTGCTCCCAAGAAGCCCACGGTCCTCTTTTTTCCTCAGAAATAAGATCAGGGAAATTCTACCAATTTCTATTGCCCCCAGTGGGCCAAGAAGAGAGTTATAAGCCCAGAGTCCTTGCACACAGAGGAGTTGTATGGATTCAAGCACATTGTCCTGGATTACCTGCACCCGGGAAGCCTGAATTGGGAACATGGCCAAGTCAACACTCTAGAACTGCTCTGCCCGATATGGTAGCCACAAGCCACGTGTGACTATTTAAAGTTAACCAAAATTAAATTTTAAAAATTCAGTTCCTCAGTTGTACTAGTCATATTTCAAATACTACAGATGCCATAGGTGGATGATACAGACACAGAACGTTTCCAAAGCAGAAATTGGGCAACCCCGTTCTAGAATCCTTGCATAGCTCAAGTTTCTTTCAAGCTGCAGAGATTCCATTTGCCATCACTGGGTTACTCAGAGGGCCTTTTCTTGACCCACCAAGCTAGCTATCAGAGCCCCATGGCCTGCCTCTGCACATGCAGTAAGTTGGTCCCATACTATCTTCCTCTGTTCTGCTTGATCCCTCCTCATCCTTCAAGTCTAACTCAAGGGCCTCTTCCTCTCCCTTCCTTAACTCCCCCAGCCCTCCTCTTCTATGAATGTGTGTACTTGCACCTATAGTGCGTACCCAAGTTGATTACATGCTGTCTAATAGTACTCTCTACGGGGCTGTTCCACAGGGTGTAAAAACAGGTGTCCACACAGGGACACTCGGTGGAGGTGGTATGTGGGACTGAGATTCAGCCTACCTTCCCCTCTGCAAGCTGTGTGCCCTGGAGTGAGTTTGTCTCCCTGGAAGATAGATCCTTTTTCTAAAGTGCATGAAGGTGTCATGTAGGCAGCCTTGTTCTCTAACCATCTTGAGGGCATGAGTCTGGTCTGCCACACAGGATGGTGTCTCTATGAAGGACGTGACCTGGTCATCTTCTCACCAATCACATCCTACTCAAGGCCAGATTCCACAGACACAAGGAAGCTGCAGGGGCACTCCCGGAACTTACAGTTCTGGTGACTTTTGGTCATGTGCTCTGAGTCCAGCGCATGGTAGAATTCATAGGCTGAGCGGCCGAGCAGCTCCTCAGGATGATAACCAATCAGTTCTGTGATTCTGAATTAAAAAAAAAAAAAAGGAACGTGTGGGGAAGGAAGACCACATGAACTTGAGGTCTGTGGGCAGGGGCTCAAGGAGCTAAATCCAGAAGATCGATCAAATGCACACATTCAGATGAACACAATGCAGACTTTCTGCTTATGCCATTTATTGGAGCAAAACAACATTGTGCTCAACTTACGACTGTGGGTTTGCCCAAACACTATCTTCCCTCCCCTTCCTGATGTCAAGTCTGGGAGGAAGGAAAAGCACCTATTCAGAAGACTCCCTTCCTGCCACCCCAACTGCACACACAGGCCATTGTCCGTGGACCACTGGAAGGACTCACACACCCTCTCCCCCCAGTTTTTGCAGATGAGGGAACAGATATCCAAGGAATGCAGATGATTTGCTAGATGTCCAGAGGCAGAGCAAGAATGAAAACTGGGGCCTCTAGTTGCTATGTCAAGCTCATTCTAATAGAAAGTGCTATAAATAAAAAGTGAAAATTATGTGGCCCTGGGTGGGAAAGCAGTATGGAGCCACCATTGTGTCTATGTTAACCACAGCATGAGGAGCTTGGGCAAGGAGAACCCATCTGTGCTTAAACCTTCCCCTCTACTCTCAGCATCCCCTCCAAACAGGTTAGCTTGCATACGTCTGTCAAGACTAAATTGTCCTAAAATACCAAGTCCACCTTGCCACTCCCCTACTTAAGCATCTTCTGCTTTCCCTTATTGCCAACCACATCAAGAGTAAATGCTGCTTAACTTCTAAGTTGCCCCAGATTCTAGTCTGTCTTTTGAGCAATTTGATTTTTCAAATCAGCTGCAGCACGTCACGCACCCTCTGCCCTGGCAGACCCCTCTCCTTGCAGTTCCCCACACCTGGCAACTCGTCTTTGCTGCAGAACCTTTTTATGCCTTCTCTCCTCCTTTCCTCCCCAAGCCCTGACTCTTGCAGGGCCAGCTCAAGGCCTCACCCTCTCCACAGAGCCCTCTCCAGTTCCTCCAGCCCTCACCGATGTCTCTCATGAAGTCCTAAGGGATGTGCACAATGTCACAAAGAAATACATTTGTCTCTTCACATTAGGCTGTCAACTCCCAAACCTGGGAGAGCTTTCTCCCTTTTGCCTCTCCTACACGGGCTCTTAGTAAATACCCGACAGCTGACTAGCAGAGCCCTGTCTATCCCAGCACTGCTAAGGAACCTGGGCACTGAGGATCTACTTATCTTCCTGCAACATGATTAACTGTCTCAATGCACACCATGTGCTCAGTCATACATACACACACACACACACAGCCTTCCACGGAACCCCTCATGACATTCAATCAGCCTTTCTTCATTCTACAGGGCATCTGGTTTTGAAGTGGGCAGAGAAGAGGCAAGTTCTCTGTCTGGGTGACTCTGGGGGTTAAAGCCTTTGTCAAACAAGGGGCGGCTCAATGGGGCTGAGAGGCTTAGGGCTCAGCTGATTCAGCCCAGTGGAGATTTCTCCAGTGAGATCCCAGAAGCTCATTTGTGCCAGCCAGCTGGTCTCAGAGTAGAAGGATCTGTCCCTTCAGTTGGCTGCAAGCAGAGAGGTGTCTGAACTCATTGGCAATGGACAAATTCTCTGACACCCTGAACCTGCTACTGGCACCCAAGGGTGGATATTGAGAGGAACAAGGAGACAGAATAGTGCTGGTCTTACAACCAGCAGGCTTTGCTGTTGGGTCAGATGCCTTTCAAGCTTAGCCTGGGAACCAGAACTGCACTGGTGAGTCCTGCTGACAATAGGCTAGGCATTCACAGGCTCGCTGATTTGCCAGATAAACTGCTTCTATTCCTGGGCAAGTCTAGAATTTTCTAGAGACCCTCCGAAATGAGTCTATGGACATTCTGGGAAAGATACGATTCTACTCCCTGAAGAAATTAAATTTCCTTTCATGATTAGAATCTTTAAATTAAAATGTTCAAAGTAAATATTTGTTATAATCAGCCTCATAATAACTTTTTTAAAATTATCTAATTAACGTATCATCCATTCAAAGGGACACAATGGGCATGTTTTGGAAGTGGAAAAACAAACCTAGATTTCAGAATTGCCAGATATCTTCCCAGTAGCAGCTTTCATTTATCTTGTCAACTAAAATAAATATTTAATGTCTCTTTCTTCATTCCTCTAAACAGACTACTATAAAAACTGGGAAATACACATATCCCCAACACAATTGCAGAACATTTGAGTTGTCAAACTTCACAAAGCCAGGAAACCCCAACTTGAAGCTCATGGTCATTCGCCCCCATGTGCAGGCACGTAGACGCCAGTGTGGAGGTGAATGAACCGGGCTTGTTTATAAGGTCACTGCAACAGCACACAGCGGCCTTTCCCCGCTCATTTCCCTGGGCTCCTGACAAGCCTCCAGAGCCGGGCCGTGATAACAGTTCCATCTGCGCTCTCCATCGGGGCAGGGGAACTATTTTTTTCTTTCTTTCTAATTAAGGGCCCCTAACTCACTGGGGAAAAAAAATCAGTTTGGTATCACTGATAAATTTAAAAGTCAACTCAGTAGGGCTGTTCTGTTTTAAGAGGGGAGAGAAATGTAAAAGGATTGCACCAGATTGCAAAAATGAGAAGACACTTTTTAATAATGAAGTGGAAAGAGAGGTGGACCAAGAATGAAGTGAGGAAAGAGATGCAGACACAAGGCAGCCACAGGAGGCAGAGGAAGAAGAAAATAGAAAACACAGAGAAAAAAGGGTTATTAAATTCTGAAGTTAGTATTGCCCAAGTAAACATGTGGGTCAGATCTTTGGGCTTTGGACTTCAGAATGGGATATGCCTTCAAGATTTTCCATTTTACATTTCAGCAAGATTCTGCTGAAATGTAAAATGAATTATTCACTGCTCTTATTTTTTTTTTATTTTTATAAAATTGTTTTTATCCTAAGAAAGGTTCAGAAGCTCGTTCAAAATGAAGAACCTGTAACTGAGTGGTAGGAAGAAAATTATTCTCTTGGCTACAGCGTCAGTTGCTGTTGCCTCAAAAGGCAGAAGTCCAGCCAGAGCCCTAAGATGGCTGCTCTTCTCGTCCATGGGGGGCACCACAGCCACACTCCTGGCCACTGCCACTGCCCAGAGTCATGCAAGGACCGGCTGCATTTCTTGCCCCTGGTCCCTACATGGGTAAAGGATTTGTTGGTAAATTAATCAACTGAACAAGATGGTTAGAGAGCACTTAAACTATTTAAGAGGATAAAAGTTTTAAGTACTTCACAACCACCTATTTGTTTTCCAAAGAATGTGTTTGCTAATAAATACCTATATTACAGTCTGCTCTCTTTCCGTCCACCCTGCTGGCAATGGCCTGCCCTAGGCACCCCTCGAGTCACTTCATTTTCTCTATATGTGGTTATAAACTTTGACACTGCCTTTCCTCAATAATGTCTGGACTCTTCACTACCTCAGGTTTCAGTGCTGTTAGTTTTCATATATTTTCATCCAGATTTTGTTAGCTTTACATAACAGTACTCAAGTCTTGCGTTTTCCTCAAATATTACATGATTAAATGAAATCTATACCACTAGCTCTGTAATTAAAGGGTAATCAGTTTCCATTCTGTCTGTGGAGTATTCCAGGCTCCCTGTGGGGGGGAATTTATACCTAGGAAGGCTCTGTGTGTGTGTGTGTAGTACAACTCATGGCTCTTTGCGATTTTCTTTATTGATATTCTCTTTATGATCATCCACTTTTTCCTCACTTTACCATCTTTGCTATTCCCAGCTCCTTTGTACAAAAACAATTCATTGTAAGTTTAGCCACAGAATGTTGAATGCAGAAATCTTAACTTGTTCAACTGTCAGTTCTGATATGATTATGTCCCATGTTGCCTTAATTCAATGACAAAATAGGTTGCCCTTAAATTCTTTATCTGTAAAGATTAAGTGACCCTCTTTCTTAATTTGAATTTTTAAATTTTTTTTAATTTGAATTTTTTACTGTAATTTTGAAATAATTTTCCCTGGTGATACTGCTCCTATCCACACAATTTGCTTTTATAATTTATTTCTAAGATACAGGAAGAATCATAAAACTAACAAAATTGCAAACGTGTGAATTAGAAAGACTGCCCAGCCTCCCTGACAGCCTGGCTTCCTTCACAGTTATTCTCTTTGGCCACTAGATGGCACCTCCACATGAATTTAAGAACCGCCCCATTTTAAAGTTAAGCTACTTGGGAACCACTTTTGCCTTCCTTTTGGATGAATGGAATGTTCTATTTTGTACTATTCACTGCAGTTTCATTAAGTGGCTTATACCTCAAGCTCTAAACTCTTGGAGATCATGAATCATCTTTTACTTCTTGGATATAACAGTCTCCCGCACAGGGTCAGACACACAGCAGATGCTCAATAATTTACAGTTCATTACTGGTTGAATACTGTTATACTCAAACAGAATAATTCCTATGTTTGAGTCATAAATGGAGAAGACATCATTAATGACATTGTTCTTTACCCTTGCTTCTTTAACCTTGCTACTCAACTGGCTCACCTGTCCAGTGCAGTTGATCACACACACATAAATGTGACTGGCATTTAAATTGTTACAAAATTCTTTTAAAAATATTTACTATGCTTCAGATAATTAAGATAGGACACAATATGTTCCTGTAATCCTTTGTTAAGGGGAGAAGAAATGCATTTTAAACCATCCTTACTCCCTTATTCAATTTCAGATGTTTCAGAGCAGGCTGTTTAGGTTCGATTGATTTTGGGAAGCTGGGAGTTCAACACAAGATTAGAGTCATCTTTTCACTCTTCTTTTCTGTTTTACTTTTCTGCCCCCTTTCCTCTCTTTCTCCCTGAGCCTTTTATTTGATTGTGTCTGTGGTCTCAGTGTACCTAAGGAAAGTCTCAAACTGCTTCAAAAGTGATTCTGTGGATTCTAATTGCCTTACATTTTCTTCAGATTCGAACTTTATGGGAAAACAGTCCCCTTTGTGGGAAATCATAATCCCTCATGTGTGTCAGATGTCATTAAAACTAGCAAAGTTCCTGATTAACATGGACAACTCCACCCACTGTTGGCGTCATATGCAGGTGTTGGTTTCAGAAGCATTTGTCTCTGAAGGGTATTAAGGAGAGAGTGTGTGTGTGCACTTCTCCCTATCCCAACACAAGGTGTGAAAACAAAACAAGCTACCAAAACCAAAAAATCTCAGTCCTCATCAAAGCAATTGAGAAATAACACTTACGGATTAAGGACTTAAAATAGTCATTTCATAAACTGTCTAAGCCATGTCTGTGCCCTTGTTAACTAATCTGCTAATCGGTTAAACACAACTTCTGTGTGGCACAGCATTCTGTGTCTTTAAATGCCTCTACATTCAGTTCTGCAGCACCACTGAATGCAGACTTGGGGCCTTGTAATTAGGTTTATTGAAAGGCAAGATTCTGCTGAAAATGCAATGTGTCCTGCACAACTTATAAGCAATATCACCGTCCACACTATGACTCACAAAGCCCCAAATCATAGGTTCTTTTAAGCCTACCATAGGTTCTCTACTCTGCCTACCAGTCCTGAACCAAAGTAAGATGTCAGCACAGTGTCTCTCCCCTTTCTGTGTATACTTCCTCTCCCACCACATTTAGGCACTCAATTCTTTGTGGTTTTCCTCTCTTCTTCTTTTACTCAAAGGTTAGTGCTTTCAGAAAATTACCTGAAATGCATTCAAACCAAGATAATAAAAGATAATGTTGAATTACCCTTTCCAAGGGATTTTTTCCCTCACTTTAACAAGAATCAGAGTTCTAAGCTCTTTACAAAAATTCCTCTTTTCTATTAGCTGGCAGGAGGTGGGGGCAAGTTATTTTCTATGACTGAGGGTTTTCCCAGTGTTTAAAGAGTAACATTAGGGATGTGCTTTGCTCACCAAGGGCTACATTGACTCTCCTCACCCACAGCACTGGAGACACTCCCAGGCCATGCGGCTGAGGCATCCTGAGCCACTTCACCTCAAAGCCAGTGACATGTGGGCTCTGACTGGGATTTTGCACGCCATCACAGAAGACTACTGAGAGGTACCCGGAATAAGGCTGTTTCCTTTGCCCAGAATGTTTATTTGACTATAAAGATTGCATCTGATAAATAACTTTACCTATATCATGGATTCCTCTGGTGTCTGCTTTGGGAGCAATCTTTCTGTCTAGTCGTCATCATCATCAACCATATTCACAACTATAATAAATGCTGACTGTGTTGAAGGCTAGGACAAAAGGCTTCACTCATGCCATCTTCTCTCTATGGGGTTAGAGCACCTCTTTCTGCTTATATAACTACCCACAACCTCCAAAACCCTTGAGTCTGGACCCCACTGTGGTCAGAACTGGGGCACAGGAATGACCTGGGGATACTTTTACAAAAGTTCTGGAACTGTGCCACAAGTAGTAGTCAATTCTAACAAGGGGCCAAACACCAACACCAGGTCAATCTGGAGTCACAGGGGAGAAAGAGATACCCACAGGATGCCAGCTGATGGGACAAAGGTGGGTGGGCCTGGGGGTGGCTGAGCAGGAGCTCTCTCCCTGGGGTCTGGTGGTTTCCTGCTGCCCAGGGAAGACAAGGCTGATTCCAGCTGGTGGTCTCTCCTTCCTCTTCCAGGCCCTCCGCCACCAAATGGCTTCAGAAGTGATCTTGACTCCTTGAGTTTAGTAGGAGATTTTGCTTTGGGGGAGGCCAAGGACAGGAAGTAAGATATAAGTAATAACAAGAAGCCTTCCTATGTTATGGTGTTTGTACCTTTCAAAGTGCTCTCATAGCCATCACCTCATTCTACAATGACGCTAGAAGATGAGAGGGGAGTGGCGAAGATCTGCCACAGAAACTGTGACTCTGGCAAAAAAATGATGACTCTAGATACCGCAGAAAGCTGAGGTCAGGCTCAGTGACCTCTGCCTTGAAGGCACATCCAGGGATGTGAGTCAGCAGACATAGTACACTTACTCCAGCCAGGCCTTTCTCCTGGCCTTCCCTCCTTCCCTGGGCCCAGCCATTGCCTGAGGCATCTGTCTCCCTACCTGCCTCCTCCCATCCCTGGTCACCAGGCCCCACATTCCCAGAGGCAGGGCCAGTGGACAGTTAGGAGCTGCAGGGCAGTTTAAACACATCCTCCCACGATGCCCCAGCCTCTTCCCCACATGTTTCTACCCTTGCCTTGAGCTAAGAACTAGGGATGAGATGGTTTGCATGTACAGTCTTTAGGTGCCCTTTCAACAACTTTAATAAAGATGAGAGTAAGAGCTAACACTCAACATTTATTGCTGGATTTGAATTTAGGCTGTCCCTGCTCTTAACCACCACCACTACTATGTCCCCTAAGAGAACTTCCAGCTGGGCCTGGCCTTGGGGGTTTGAATCTGGCTTATCTCCCTCTACCGAAAAGCCTTTAAGATCAGTCTGGACAAAGGTCAGAATGGAGCTACACACAGGAGGGGCAGAGGTGGACGGAAAGCTCAGTCAGTAATGGCAGCCGTGGGTCAGTTTTCAGGCCAGAAGCCAATGCTCCAACTGACTTCCCCACTGTGAATACTGATGGAAATCTCCAGGCTCTTCTCTCCCTGGGCAGGATTCAGGAGCCTGATACATACATGGAGAAATATGTACACAGCACAATGATGACAACAGGGTTGAGTCCCAGAACAGCTCTGCAGACACACCCTGAAGCTGCGTCAATCAAGACCACCCAATACAGTACTGGGAACCTCTGAGATGCACGGGAGGACTGAAACAGTGACACAGGCCCACAAACATGCACCTGGCAATACCATGTTTATGCCCTGTCCCACACATTTAACACAGGCACAAGCACACACACCTGCAGGTAAGACCCAGCCCGCACTATAGACTTCAGCACGCACTATTGGACCCTCACCTGTCGTCACAGTAGGTGAACTTCATGTCCATGCTGTGGCGGCTCAGGAAGGTCTTACTGTCCAGGGGGATGTCCATGTGGGACGGGTGCTGGATCGGTTCACACATGATGATGAGGCAGGAGAGCAGGGGCTCCTTGTAGCCACAGAGGCTACTGTGAGGAGGGCAGTTGTCATAGACTTTTACCTGGCCAGTGCAGTGCAAGACCTGGGGACCAGCAAAAGAGGGTCAGACGTGGGGCTGAGAGTGCTGGGGCAGAAGCAGGACTTTAGGCATTCCCGCCCCCAGCCCAGGCCCATTGCCCTACCTTCCAGGTGGCTGACTTGAGGTTGACAGTTCGGCCTCTGTTGGTGACTGTGCACTTCATCCTCATGAAGAAGTCCCTCTCTGTGGACATGTCTTTGCTTTTCTTCCCAAAACCAGAGCCTGGATAGGGAAGGGTATATGGAGGTGTGGAATCAGTTGAACTTAGCTTTATGTTTATGTTCACGGGAGAGGCTCAGCTGCAGTTTTTCTGGGAAGCTTATCGTTTGTTTCCCAAGCATCTGCTCTCTTAGCTCCTGTGGCCTGCCGTGAGCACTGAGCTCCACCTTGGCCTGTGGACTGACAGTTTCTTATCTCCAGCTTGTCTCCTCCACCAAAGCATAAACTCCTGAAAGGCAGCAGCTGTTTTGTCATTTGATTTCCCATTGCACCTGGCACATGGTCAGTGGTCACATCAGAGCAGCAAGGCAATGAGGGACTACTAGCCACTGTCTGAGCAAACCTCTCCTGGGGTAAGACCCAAGGTTTCTAGCAGGAATTTCAAGGGACAGTCTGGGTGAGGCCACTCCCAGGGTATAACCTCACAGGTTAGAATGTCCCTCAGATACTGCTATCCTCTTTATAACCTGTCTCCTAGGAACTTAAACCCTCTTGCACCCTATTTGCAACCTGCAATAGCTGCATTTGGAATAATATGCCATTAGCTTCCTCCCTAAAGTGACATATACATCAAGGCTCTAGAGAGACCCCTGGTCCAAATCTCCTGGGATTTGGTAAGCAAGTCCACTTTGAAGATTAACTCAACATCGACTATATCTTCTCTCCGCCAGAATTAAATAAATCACCAAACGTATAGCTTTCTTCCTTAGAGTCTCCAAACTGTCTACTCACTCAGAACATTTTCCACCTCTTGTAAAACCAAGCAATAAATGCAATGCCATCTGAGTCCCTCTTGTCCATGTTTAAATTCTGCCCACACCACCATCCCTGTCCTGGGCTTGCCAAGGTACATTCCTGCCCCCTTCCAACATTACAGAATAATCTAGAACCTTGTTTCAAAGAGTCACACTCCTCCCTCCAGGCAAAGCCACCACCTCCGCACTTAAACTTTCAGAGAACCTTGATTTATTTGACTGATGTATTTCTGAAGAGCAATGTGTCAAAGGAACTGTGGCACCTACACTGAACTTAAACATCCTTAGGGGAGTCCACTAAATAACAGACTGAATGGTGAATTTTTTTTTATTTTTTTCCAAGAGAGTGTATTCCTCCATCATGGTAATAAGGCCATCTCTACCATTCTCAATTATGTTTCTTACAATTGTGATTTTCACAGGTGGGGTTTGCATCTAGTGAGATATGCCTATAACCTGGGGCCTGGCCCCACTGCCAGGACCAGCCCAGGTGTTAGGGACGAGGGTGCTGGAGGGATCTACTTGTGTTGTTTGGGTTATTATTGAGGCCTCCTAACTGGATTCTCCCCATTCTGACATTTGATCATGATTTCTAAGCATAGCTCCAAGCAGATCACCCACCCCATCCTTGCCCCAAAACTTCACAGGATAAAGTTCAAGGCCCTCCACCTGGCTTTCAAAGCCTCCCGCAATCTGCCTCATGGCCTTATCTTCCTCTCAGAACTCACGCTAACCCTTTACTTCTAGAACACAAGTCCACAACCGGCCAGCACCTTCAATGAGGATTTGCTGATGCACTGTTTGACAGTTCCAAGGCCCCGATACATGGACCAGGAGATCTGAAGTTCCACTCAGATCAATAGAGGCCACTTGGCTGTGAATCATGCACTTGAGAGTGGGAAGGTCCTAGACTTTGCCTTGTCCAAGACCATAAAAATGAAAAGAATGACTCCAAGGAACAAAGAAATGAGGAAATTGGTTTAGGTCATGGAGTCAAACTGAGACTATAGTCAGTGATTGAACTAAGAACCCAAAAGTCAAAGGGGTTCTGGAGTAGAAAAGACATCACAGACTTTTTGGTGTTCTCAGACTTCAAGCACCTGCTCTAGAAAGTGATTCAGAAACTCTGGCACCAAATGTTCCTCTCAACACAGACTTTCTCAGCAGCCCAGACAAGGCAGTGAATAGCCATGGCTATGGGGTGCTTTCCAGCCTTGCACTCTGGGAGCCAGGTGGCCCAAGGCTTTTGGGGGGCATAGCAGAGAGATGGGTGGGAGAGCAGTGGTGGTGGGGGAAGGGAGGCGGTTGTAACTCTGTGTTTTGCAGGCCCAAATGTGGATTGTAGGTTCTGTCTGCAACAAGGGTGGAGGTGAGCCAAATGAAACATCTGCTTTTGCAGCATGGGTACTAACAGGAGCAAAGCCTCGTAGGCTTAGTACCATTGCATCTGTTACTCAGCTTGGACAAGCACAAGCCCTATGGCAGTGACAGGTAAGGGAGGTTAAAGAGGACATCTAGATGTGGGCAGAATCTGCCCAGACCAGTGACAGAGTCTCAGGTTCAGAAGGGACCTTGACAGCCATTGAGCCCCTCTGCTGTCCAAAGATTCAGTCCTCTGGACAATATCCTCATTCATGCCTTTGCCTGAATGGCCCCGGTTATGAGAGATGAAGCTCTACTGTCATTGCAAAGTGCTTTCTGCTTGTGTAGGTCCTTTCATCCACTGGCACCTGCTGAGTACCCCCACAGGTAGGGTCCTGTACACTAGGACTTTAAAAATCTCTTCTCCATCAAACCTGCCTGTCCTATGTCTCCAAAGGTGGCTCCAATGAGCCACGCCTTCTGCCACTCACAGCCTTGTGTAGTTCCCTCCCACGCTGGCCTGTAACATCCTCTAACCAATAAAACAAGGCAGAAGTGTTGCTTTGCCAACTTCAGGACTAAGTCTTGGGAAGGCATGACAGCTTCCACTTTTGTACTTCTGGGAGCCCTGAGCTGCCAGGTAACATGTCTGGCTACCCTGGAGACAGCATGGGAAGAGGGAGAGGCTCTAGGATTCCACAACGTGAAAAAGCAGTCCAGCTCTCCCAACTTTCCAGCTGAGCCCAGGGTTCCAGCCACCTGCCACAAGGTCCCAGACATACGGGTGAGCCATCTTGATCACCCCAGCCTAGTCCATGCCCTGGATGACTACACCCCGGCCGGGTATCACTTAAAGCACAAGACCTACCCACAGAACCTACAAAATCCTGAGAGCTAATAAATGATTAAGTCCTATATTTTAGGTGGTTTGTTACACAGCAATAGACAACTCCAGTGGTTCCTACAGGAACTTTGGCTCACAGAGGAGTTTATTGGTTTGAGTGGCATCATTTGGCAGACATGCTTGACAACCAGGTGATGAAACCTCCTAGAGACAGTGTCCTAACCCAAAGGAGTCCCCTAAGTAGTGTGGGATCAGCAGGAGGTGTTTCTGAGCAATGCATCCTTTCCATGCCCCCCAATCTCATTTCACAGGCGACATGCTTACACAGAGGGCCAGCCTAACGGACTTTTTATGGTTGTCAGTTTTTACTGCATCATAATGGTCTTCAGCCATCTCTCCTATGGTCTAGACAAAGAGAAGGCAGGTTCCCTCCCAGGTGGGGCAAGAAGGAAGTAAACATACAGTTAAGGATACCATTTTTGAGACTCAGGTTTTCACGGATCTCCTCGTGGTCACAGGGATGAGTGAAGTCAAAGATACTGTGTCCTGTTAGCTCCACCTGTTTTGAAAACAAGGTTAGGCTCCATTATTCCTAACATCAAAGTAAAAGACCCGAGAGGAAGCTGAGCCACCTTCCAGATCTAGAGACAGGGAGGGGGTTGAACCAGGTCTTCTCATAATCCTAGTCCAGCGTTAGGTGCACAGGCATAGGGACGTAATAGGGGACCACTGATGAGGACAGGCTTGAGTCACGATGCCTGGCCTGTTAAATCCAGTCCACAGAGAGCTGCCCATCAGGACAGCCACAAACAATGCCAAACTCAATGCCAAGGAGAGGGAGCATGTTACTGAGACTGTGACCTGAGGTCAGTGAGGGTCAGAGCGGGCATGGGCAGGGGGCGGTCAAGGGTCATTGTTACCAGCACCTTCTACTACCTTCTACCCGCAAATGGCAACATTTCCCTTTTTTGAAAGAGACAGAGGAGGGCGTCACCTGTGTGAGTCCCATGAACTTGCTGATGTTTTCTGACAGGAAGATCATGTCACCATCCTGGGTCACCACAGCAATGAACCCCTCCAGGGCTTTCAGGTACAAGTTATCCATCTGCTGGTCAGCTTCAGCTTCAGACTCATTTTCAGAGCACACTGGAGAGAGAGGGGGTTACATGGCTCTCGTGAATGTCATGTAAAAACGGCCGTGACTGGTATGGGTAGGTGTCTGCTAGGGATGGCTCAGAGGCATCAAGTGAACTTTTCTGGAAACACACACTACCACCCACCTCTATGTCTGCCACATGCCCAAACAGCACAGATGAGCACTGCTACACAGAGGACACCCTGGCAGGGGCTTGGAGGACAGTGTGCTTGTAGTGACAACAGTGCTTGTGGTGTTAGCGGTCCCAGTGGCAGTAGTAGTCATAGAAATAACAGTCATGGTAGTAGTAGGAACAAAGATTTTAGCTGCTAATATGTATTGAGCAGTTACTACACGAAAGGTATTGCACTAAGCATGCTATACCATCTTCACAATGACCTACCCTGAGGTAGGTACTACTCTTCAGCATGTTTTACATACGAGGCTCAGAGAGGTTAAGCCATTTGCCCAAGGTTGGGAAGGTTGGAGAGCTAGCAAGCCTCAGCAGCTAAATCCAGAAGCCACACTGAACCATTTACAGGCTTTGGAGTTAAACATAAATTCTATTCCTAGATCAGCCTCTTATCAGACTATGACTTTGGGTAAGTAATAACCTCTATGAGCATCAGTTTCCTCAACAGCTAAACGGAGATAACAATTTCCATCTCTTTGAATGGTAAGAATGAAATATGTATGTAAAATGCCTAAAATGGTATCAACAATAGTGAATTCTTTCCCCCTCTGCTCCCTCCAAGACACTGTCACCTACCCTCAAATTACTCAAAGCATAGATGAGAAATATGTTGCACATAGAGATGCAAAGCGAAACAGAAGTTCAAGGGTGTCATAGTGGGGTGCCCAAGGAGGGTTACAGACAGTAAGTGCTCTGAGGATCAGAGGAGGAGAGGGTCGCTGTGGGGTGCTCAGAGACAACTGTACCAAAGAAGAAGTATTTGAGGAAATTAGTGAAAAATAGAGATTTCATTCTGTAGAATAAAGAAGGGCCTTCTGGGCTGGATAGGGTTGAGTGAACCTGGAAAACATATGGAGCAAGCTCCCTCCCAGGACTAAGAAAAGGCCCATGTAGCTGAAGAGAAAGATGTTATTTCCTAGTCTCAGAGATTGGACTGGTGAGATAGGTCTGGTATCCTGAAGGGACCTCACATTTCAGGCAAAGGAGCAGAGAAGTAGCACCTCAAGGCATTGCTTTGGGGAGATTAATCTGACTATGGCATGGAGAACAGTTGGGAGAGAGTGAAGCCCAGAGGTGTCAGCCAGAGTGAGGAGGCAACTGCATCACTGGCGGCTGGAGAGGTGCTAGAAGAAGCCTGAGAAAACATCACCCCAAACCATCCACTTTGAATACCCTGGCCTGTCAAGTATACCCCTGCTGTCTGCAGAATGTAGACTCAGCTCTGGTCCCAGACAAAACAACCTCTCAGGCCCCTGGCCCTTGGTTCTCATACTCAGGCCACAGACTTTACTTCAGCCCCTCTTTTTATAGTTCATTACTGAACTGCAAAGATACATTTACTTATGAAAATTTGTATTCATCCAGTGTAAACATCAATCCAAGTATGCCTCACTTGATTTCTAGAACAAGGTGATTAGAGAGTAATTTGTCACTCTCTTAACTAAAAGGAGTCTTTCAAATGCGGACTATTCTAGGGAATGTAAAATGCAATTCAATTTATGGGCCACTTGGCAAGGAACACATCAACGCTGTGAAATGTGGTTCAAGGCGCTTGCTGCGATGGCACTGGACTTATTTCTCTTTTCTGTTTTTCCTCAAGCCCCTTACATTAAAGCTCTGGGCTATCTGCCATTATTCTTCAAGGAGAACAAATCCAAATTAGGAGATGTTCCTACCAAGGGGCATCCATGGCACCGGTCACCTTTTAGGACATAGGATCAGAGAATGTGCTGAAGTCACAGATGCTGCTATTTCTGCAGAGGAACAGAACAGGGCCTGTCCCTGCCTTCAGAGCCAAGAGTGGGGTTGTACAGGGGTTGTAGTGTCCTGTTGGCTTTCCCTGTTTTACAAAGATGGTAGAACAAAATGAGAGGAATTCTTTCCTCTTCACACTCTGGTTCAGGCAGCTAGCCTACGGAGGGGAGGACCACTGGCCAAGGCAAGGGCCTTATACTGCACACACCCCCACACCTGATCCCTGCTAGGGTCTGCAGATAGATCTGCTCTTTGCCATCTAACTAATCAGCTGAACCGATGATGAACTAATGTCCCAGGTGGCGGTGCTGCCACGACTAATGTTAGCTTTCCCAGGTAACATCTTCATTAAAATGGGGCTTCAGGAGAGACAATTACTTAACACTTCCAAGTGTGAGTACGCAGCAAAATCACCTGCAGGGCTGGCTAACGCAAAGACTACCAGGACCGGGATTGCTATATAATTTGCGTGGCCCGGTGCAAAGAAAAAACACTGGATTTCTTATTGAAAACTTAAACCTCTCCTGGGACCCTTCTAGGTGTGGAGCCCTCTGAGACTGTACAGGTACATACCCACACACTGGCCCCACCCAATAGTTCCTGACTCAGTAGGTCTCAGGTAGGGGCTGAGAATCTGCTTTTCCATCAAGTTCCCAGGTGATGCTGATGCTGCTACTCGTAGGACCACATGAGGAGCACCACTGCCTCAATTCAAGGTCCTAGAGTGACCCTAATGCTGGGGAGACCAGCCTATTTTGGCAGGTGGTGACTTATTTGGGGGATGGGTGAGAAGAGGTTTTCAGCACCATCTAAGTCACACCAGATAGCTGACCACCTTCTACAGACAAGCACAGGCCAGCCCTGTGGTTTCTGGCCTATTGAGAAGATATTTTTTCTTCAATTTCTTTGATCTCAGTGGTAACGCTGACTTCAAAATCTGGAGGAATCCCAAAACAACCCTATTTGGGTTAACTAGGCCCAGAGGAAATAGTCCTGCTTAAAATTTCCTGTTTTTAACAGTTCCAACACAACCAAACGGGTTTCCACCCATGCCCAGCACACTTGCTTCCAGGAGGTGGCGAAATTGGCTACAGCAGCATGGGGTCAGCAGGCCTCTGAGAGGAAGGGACAAGGGCACTCTAGGGCCATGAAGGGAAACAGAACGTCTTGAAACTGAAGGCACAATGGCTGGAGGACCAGGAAGCCAGCAGGCAGCCCCTAGGGACTCTGGGACAGAGGGCAGGGAAGGCCTTCCCTCTGCAGAACTCTTTGCTCTCGCGGCACCTGCCCATTCTTCTGAGAGCTTCTGCAGGAGCCAGGCCGGGTTGCTTGCATCTTGGGAGCTGAGAGTGAACTAGGTCCAGGAGGCAGGCCATCACCCAGGACACCAGGAGGCTCGTGCCATAAATCTGCTGAAGAGTCCTCTGCTTTTTTTCCTGTGAACATCATGTCTTCCCTGATGTATCATTAATAGCAACTCAGTGTTAGGTATGTGGAAAACTGCACTCATGCCCTACACAGTTATTGTGTTTCTACCATGTACATACATGTCTGCCTTATGCTAGGCACAAAGTAATCTGTCCCCAAGTGTCACTTACTGTGTTCTCAGTTCTGTCCTAAGGAGACTCGGGGACTCTGAGAGGTGTAAGACAATCCTTTCCCTCAAGGAACCTACAGACTGGCGGGGAGGACAAAGATAAACCGCTGCAAGGCCACACAACAGTGGAGCAGAAACCCTCAGTGCGGGATAAAGTGAGGAGCCCACAGTAAGTGCTCAGTAAGCCACCAACCGGACCCTTAAATCTCTTTAGGCACTAGGGCTCAGTTACATGCTTCCCAGGAGCCTGCAGGGTCTGACCCCAAAGAAGGAGGACGGCCGTTAAATCCAGAGGCGCTCCGCAGAGACGGCACACGCTCGGCCTGGGGAGCACAAGATTCTTTAATGCTAAAAATAACCGCAGTAAACAGGCTTTGATGACTCCCCACAGCCAGGATATGCGCGGGCTGAGGTTTTGGAGCACTTTTTCCGGAGCACCACTCATTTCCTTCAGGCAGCACTGCCCCTGTGGGGCGGGGCCTCCCAGGCAGCAGGAGCTGTGCATGTGGGCTGAGTGGGCAAGACGGCAGGGCAGAAGCCCCCCGGCGGTCTCGAAGGCCAGGCTGCCCCCATGGAGCTGCTGGTCAGAACGCTGGCTACATTTTAATCCTCCAGGGTTACTTTCTTTCTTTGTTTCCTACTCTGAGAAGTTCCAGATCTGCTTTGACCGTACTTAAAGCCATTCTGATGGGGTCTTCCCAGTTGAGACGTCCTTGGCAGTCACCACTTGGTTATCATCACACAAGCTTTCCTGCTAAGGGCTTTACCTAAACTGATTCGGCAAACTTTGCCTAAACTCTCCCAGGGCCTGGAGCCCAACACCCACCTTCCTGGGTGTGCCAACTGCAAAAGCACTTACTGGATCATTAGCCACAACATTAAACCCCACCACTAGCAGGCTTGGGGTATGCTCACACCTTTGGCAGAAGCCACTAAGTCCTACCTGATCTTGCTGGGCTCCTAGAGAGTCCTGAAAGTCCACTAGTAGAAAGGCATCCCTCTGTTCTTACATATCTTATTATCCTCTCTAACCCTCTGTGTTACCCTTCAAAAGATGTAGCACAGGGTGGGCTCAGCAAACACCTACTAATTGAATGGACTTTTTAGTTTTAGCTAAGGGAGTGATCTGAACGAGGTCCGTGTCTCTGGAAGAGATCGTACATTAGCTGCTCTCAGCATCAGCATCCTTGCATGAATCAGTGTATTGGCTTCTTTCCAAACAGGATGAAAAAGGCCTTGATTGGAGAGTGGGTGGGAAAGGGGGTGGAGCAGTGAAGATGTGGGGGAGAAAGCCTGGGAAAAGAAGTCTGAAAGTAGGGTGTAAGAGAGGGCACCAGAAAACATATCTGCCTCCACAATTCTGCGTTCTTTGCCTCACTTCTCCTGCATGGAAAGATTATAGTAAACTTTAAAACTCCCTTGTCCCACATTGGAATGTATTTCCCTCAGCAGTCTAAAGATCAGGAAATCAAATCTCTCCTTAAGGCTAATGCCTTCACTACACAAATGCCATTGAATCGATAATAAGCCTCCCGTTTCTTCTCAGAAACCTCACTTCCTGCTGATCTCCAGCTCCATATAAAATGAATTTGATTTCACCATCATGAGTCTGGAGAAGCCTGAAATCAATTTTACAGTGAAAATCAAATTTCGTGTATTTACTGCTGTCTAATGCCCTCAGAACGCAGACCCCCGTTGGGTCACGGTTCGTGGGGCCCATCCTGAAAGGGGATTTGAGACAATCGAGTGGTATTTCCACTGATGTTCCTGTGAGAGTGTTCTGTCGTCGCCCAGCGTGGAAGCTCATATCATAAAGCTATTGTTTCAGTTTGCTTCCTGTGATACGAATCTCAATTCGGCAGCCCAGACCCACAGCCTGAGTTTCTCAGCGCTGAGGTTTCCTCTCCAACATTCCCACACAGAACAGCCTACTGTGAAAATCAAAGGGAAGCGTGTTACTAAGTAAAGAAGAAATTTTCTAAAGCAAAACTTGGTATTTTTTAGCCTTTTGAACTCGGAGGTATGCAACCAGTTATTTCCTATTATAAAGTGAGCCAAAATTGGTACTCACCTTTGTTAGAAATGCTTAAATAATGAATTTGTGGTTTGTTTTGGCTTGGAAAAGCATGGCAACTCTGCATTTTCATAGAAATTGCTAAAAGGTGGGTAAGAGGACGGCAAAGGCTTACACTGGGTTTCTGTTTACATCATTTCTACAGAAGCCTATACTTACTATAAATCAATATACTTGCTTGTAATAATTTTTATTTCTGAGCTATAATTTTATTTCTAAGTTATAACTTACAAGCTTAATATGTGATAGGTTAGAGGATAAGATCTTTTATACCTATTATCTCAATCCTAAAACAACACTGCAGAGGGAATACCATTATCACCTTTGTGGAGATGAGGAAACTAAAGCTCAAAGAGAAAAAAGAAATTTGTACAAGGTTGCAGAGAAAGAAGGCAGCCAACTGAGATTCCAATGCAGGTCTATCTGCCCACAAATCCTATACTCCCCTTCATTATTCTACTTGTGTGGGAAAAGTAAAATATGATTAAAAAAGAAAAAGATGCTGCCTTACAATTTCTGATAACAATTCAACAGTTGGTCTAGAGCAGGGGTTCCCAACCTATGGTGAGTTGTATAATTATTTCATTATGTATTACAACATAATAATAATAATAATAGAAATAAAGAGCACAATAAATGTGCTTGAGTCATCCTGAAATCATCCCCCCTCTCTGGTCCATGGAAAAATTGTCTTCCATGAAAACGGTCCCTGGTGCCAAAAAGGTTGGGGACCACTGGTCTAGAGAATGTGTGGCAGGACCCTGGGAGAGAAGTCAGAGAAAAGAAGATGTTCTGAAGCCATCTCTTCCTCCCCTGGCTGTGCATGTTTTATGAGAACTTCTCCTTCAAGGACACCAGAACCAGATGGCCAGAAGTGGAAACTTTTTATCCTTTTCCATCATTTCTTTCCTTGGGACAGAGAAGACCACAGCTGACATGCTGAGGGCTGTGGTCTATCTGGGGTGAAGCCAGAGGGCAGGCAGTCTGTGTCCACGACTTTCAACAGCTCCTGAGTTGGGACACGTGATGTCCTGCCATGACCACTCTGGTCTTATCTCTGTGAGTGTGTCTAGCACACGAGAGTTCACACCAGCACACAAGGGTTTACACCAGCACATATGCAGGCAGATGTGCTCAGAGGGCCCGGCCCCCAAATGTGGCTGTCTCCAGGCCAACCTCTGAACCACTGAGGACAGCAGGCTCATGTATGGGCAAGCATGGAAAGCAAGGCCCTGCACCATGCAAAAGGATAGGAACAATGCTCTCAACATGTGAGGACCTCCTCCTCACCCCACAGCTTGCCGACGGCCCTCAGGTGCCTCCATTTGACTTTGGTTCCCTGCTTTTCTCCCCTACCCTCAACCCCCATGCCTTCTACACATCTGTACCTGACCAGGTTTGCAGAATGCTCCCACCAACCCATGTCTGTCTTTCCAATGGACCAAGATCCAAAGGGACCTGAATTCCACATGCAGGTTTACCATGTGCTAAATGTGTGACTTTGAGCAACCTTAATTTTTTTGTGCCTCACTTATCTGTGAAACAAGGAGAAACACTCTGCAAGTCCAAATTCAGTCAGATGGGTGTCTTAGGATTAATATACAGGTTGAGCATGCCAAATCTGAAAATCTAAAATCTAAAACACTCCAAAATCATACATGATACTCAAAGGAAATATTCATTGGCGCACTTAGAATTTTGGATTCTCAGATTAGGGATGCTCAAACAGTAAGTATAATGCAAAAATACTCTAAAGTCTGAAAAACTCCAAAATCTGAAACATTTCTGGTTCCACACATTTCAGATAAGGGATACTCAACCTGTATTACTCCTTCTGGAGCTTTCTGTTGGTGGAGGAGTGGGGGTGGTGATGAAGGAAGCAATAGTTAACCCAAAGGAATTAATATCTAAGAGTAGAATTCCAAGTACCATGGCAGAGAAGTAGAGAAGACAGTGCTGGGTGCAGGGAAGGGGTCTCCATCTAATCATCAAATCCTCCACTGTCTACTCTGTATATATGTAAAGATAATTCCAACATTACCAGACATTGCCCTCAGCTGTCCAGGAGTACAAGCCTCTTTAGAAGGAGGAGGTACACAAGTGCCCTGCGATGAAGTCTCTAAGCCTTTCTTACATCCATCCGGCAATCCAAGCCTAGCCAGCGCTTCAGCACAGGGTTCTCTTTCTGCAGCATCCATGACTATCAATCAGCCACTGCCCTGCACTGTTTCTTTGGAAGTATTCAGAGAGCATGTCTTTGCCCTTGGTTCCCCCCGTCCTGCCTGCACAATGGGCCTCGTTAGGCTCACGGTACAGGCTTAGTCTTCTAACCCTTGGGCCCACTGAGCCGTCCTATTTTCTGAAAGTCTTTCCTCCATATCCTTCCTGTGCCGCAGGGCCCAGAATAGCACATGCTGGTCTGGCCTCCCCGCCTCACGCTGGATTCCCTCTGCTCAGGGTTTCTTTCCCAGAATAGCCACTTCATAACAGGATGGCAGAATCAACCCGTCTCCAAGGCACCAGCTCACTCAGGAAAACCAACCACAAAAGAGCCTTCCCTGACGGTCTCCCTCGCATTCACCCCCTCAGACACTGCCCACCTGTAGCACCAGACCAGTGTGGGGGGGAGGCCTCGTGTTGCCCAGTTTCCTTACAGAACTGACTCACTGGATGACACTTTCACATGGGCTCTGAAGCTGGAAGACTCCTCGGGACACCTCTCTCTGGTCAGGACTAACAGGAAATGGCTTTTTGAAGTATGTAACTCTCTGAGAAAAAAAAATGTTTTGTGAGCTCCTGAGCCGCAGAGATAGCAGGGAGGGTGAGAATTAGTTGGTTCCTGGAGAGGGTGATGCTTCAGGCTGTCATTCGTCAAGGATGGCCCAGGGTGACTGAGTGCAGCAGGGCCAGGTGCTTTACAGACACATCTCGGTCAGTTCTCACAGGCACCCTGAGCAATAAGCATCTTTAACCCCACTTTACAGATAAGGAAACCAACATTCAAAGAGACCAAATGATTTGCCTGGCATATAGCTGGCTAGTAAGAGGGAAAAGATCGTTTGGGCACACCTCCTCGCCACTCTCAAGAAGGCAGTTGGAAAATAAGGATTAAAATGCTTCCTATGGATTCAATCTAGGGTGCAATACAGGTCTTATGGCCAGAGGGCCACAAATTGGGAAGTCAACAAAAGCTATTCTTGGTTCTCACAGCCCCTGCGTTCTCCCAGCCTCCAGGTGCCCATGCTCTTTCTTGGTCCCGCCTGCCCCGGCCCTTTGTCCTTGGCTGGATTCATTGCAAAGGTCATTGCTGGAGAGGAGATGTTTTGCATGGAGTAAAGCACTACTGATGGCATTTCTGAAAGTTCTGCAGAATGAACATTCCTGGGAAGGAAAACTTTCCAACTCTTGCACAATAGGAGCCCCCTGTGTGTTGGGACATGCTGGTAAGGCTGCCCTCTGCCCAGCCTGGGGGACCTGCCAGCCTCACCTGAGGACAGGAGCTTTTGTGTTCGCAGGAAGCTGATAGCCAGCCGCATGATGGAGGCCTTGTCCAGATGGGAGCTCACGCTGTGAGGCAGAGGCAACTCGTGGGCCAGCTCGTAGAACACTTCCGTCTCCTTGCTCCGCCGGCACCTCGCAGCATCTCGGGACTTCTCCTTCCTCCTCTCCGAGCTACTCCTAAATTGAGAGAGAGGGGGTTAAGCCCTAAAAGATCATTGTCATCCTATTACATACCTGGCCAAGACATCCCCCTGGCCCCCCAACCTCAGTGCAGTCAGACTCTTCCACTGCACTGATCTGGGCCTACACCAGTCGTCTGAGCCACATGCAAGCCACATGAAACCTGTTTTATATCGTTTGTTCTGCCTCTGTGTGTACTGGTGTCTTCTCAACCACCTTCCTCCTCTTGCATTCCCCATGGTGTCCAGAACAGGTCTTCGCGTGGGTGGGGGTTGGGCAAAGACTTGCTGATTAAATTACTTAACTAGCAATGCCTTGGACCTGACCTGGTCCTGGGTTATCTGGGGACAGGGGTTGAGTATCCAGGGATGGAAGGAGAAGGGTGAGGAAGCTATCACCAGGGGCCCGGTGGCTCTGTCAAAGGCTCTGGAGAACAAGATAAAAAACTATTCTCTTCCTCTGGATAAGACACATTGAGAAAAAAATGAAGCCTAGTACTGGACCTTAGATCTCATTTCATATCAGAGAGTGATTTCCACAGTAAAAATTCAAAATGCAGTTATAGCCCAAGAACACTGAGTCAGACATTCATCAGTCTGGAGTACCAAAGTGCATACCTGTCAAGGGTTAAAAGGGAGTGGCACAAATATGTTTTCTCCCTAAGCCCTGCCAGGACAGGCTGCCAGCCTGTCTCATGCTCATTGTCCTTTTTGTTGCAGGATGGAAAGAAAGGTGACCCACACTAAAGCATCCCTTTTTCAGGAAGTCCTCAAGAAATCCTGGATCTTCTTATAAAGCCCAGGTCCCATTCTAACACAGGAAAGTTTAAAAGGCAGAATGTCTGGGTTGGAATTCTGACTTTTCTGCTTGCTAGCTCTGTAAGCAAATTATTTAAAATCCTTAGCTTCAGTTTCCTAATTTGAAAAATGATAATAATGGTATTACACTTCAGAGTTATAGTGAAGACCAAATGTAGGAATTTACATAAAATCTTTGGCACCAGGCCTATCCCAACTATAAGCAATCAGTGTTAGTTAATACTAATTTAAAAATCTGTCCATGAAAAGATGATTATGAGAAGAAGTTACAAAATAGTACAGGACAATTCTATTTTCTAGAAATTTATGTATTATACATACTACTTCCTATAAACTATATAGGAAAAAGCCTAGAATAAAATAACAACATAATTATAGGTATCACATAGTACTTACAATAGTCCAGGTACTATTTTAAACAATACATTAGCATCTTTAACTCACACAACTACCTTTGGAAGCAAGTATTATTATTATTTCTAATTTACAGAGGTGGAAGCTGGCCCCTAGAGGCTGGGTAATCTACCAATGGCCTCTAGCAGGTAAATGCCCACTGCCCAGGCTTTGCACTGGGCAGGTGGGCTCCAGAATCCAGGTACTTAACCACCAGTGACCGCTCTGTCTCTCTCTACTCAAAACTGTTAGTAGTCAAAGGGAACTGAAGTGGGAGGGGAGGGATGTATTTTTGTTTTGTTTTTTGCTTTGTTTTGTAGTGCTTATCAGTATTTTCTTATGTTTCCAAAAATAACCTATAATGCTTGTTTAATAAAGAAACAAGCTTGGTTTTTATTTTTTTTAAAAAGTGTCCAATGCAGTTGATGGCTCTCAAGGCCTCAGTCCAGCCAGCTCCAGCAGGCTCACTCTGTTCTGCCTTCCAAGATTTCCAAAGCCAGGGGCTGCTTCTCCTTTTGTTTGGCTTTGCAGCCTGTTATCTGGACAGAAGAATCAGTATTTTGGGATTTATGGAATGTTGGCATGCCTCTCAAACCCCTCAAGATTTGGGGCAGAAGCACTGTTTTGACTTTACGACATGCTTCACTTAAACAGAATGTCCCGCTCCATAGATGGGTGAAGTGTCATGTACTCAGACTGCAGGAAGAATTGACCAATAGCTGTTGATGGCCGGGGAGAACCTTCAGAAAAATTGTGAAATGAGCGAAACTGTTTTTCTTGTCCCATGTCCCTTTTCTGTTTCCTTTATCTAACTCCTGTTTCCTTCTCTCCCTGACTTCCAACTCTCAAGATTACCTACCCCTGCACCCCACCCTTTCCCATCCTCAGAACTTGCCCCAACTAAACCTTTAGTGGCAGTTTGTGTATTAGTCCCTCCTGTTCTCATTTTAACCCTGACCTTCGATTGTGGAGAAAAAGGTTTGGATTGCGGATTAAAGGTTTGCAGGCATTCTGGCATAGGAGAGGAAAGTGGGAAGGGGACGGGACACTGAAACTACACACACTACGCCGTGGGTCAGGAGGGCCGGGTAAAAGGTGCTGAATTCCATTCTCCAGCATTAATCCCACTCTCCAACAAAAGAATCATCAACACATAACCCAGTCATTGGGGGCACCTAGAGAAGCCATCCTGGAGTGGAAGAGATCCCAGCACAGGCTGTGGCACTCGCACCAACATCTACATGCACGAGCTTCCCTTTGCCATTGCTCCTTCTTATGAGTAGAAGACCTGACAAGGAAGAGAGGAAGAGCCAGGTAGGGGAAAGGCAATCAGAGTCAGTGCTCTCTCTTAGAATGGCATTTGACATTGGAGTCCTGCTATGTTCTTCCAACCATGCAAACATTTATTGACACCAACTTTTGTACCTCCTGCTGCACCAAGGACTTTACATATATTATTTCATTACAATCTTACTAACAGCGCACTATTGTAGGTATGGTTTGCACAATTTACAGATGTGGAAACCGAAGCTCAGATATAATGTCATTTGCCTAAGGTCACAAAGCCAATGCCCATAGAAGCCCTTGGAAGGTCTATAGCCAGTGAGCAGACATACTAAGAAGCGCTGAAACACACCGAGGCTCCCTAATTCCATCCTTGCAACCAAGGTGAGCATGATAGGCATTATCATCCGCCCCCTTTCACAGATCTGGAAACTGAGACCAGACCAGGCTAAGTTACATGCTTAGGGCAATCCAGCTAATCAGTGGCAGAGCTAGGGCTAGAACCCTCCCTCTTCCTGAGCCAATACTCTTTTCACTGCTTAACTGTAGGAGATAGTGGCTTTAGCAAGAAATAAAGGAGCAGCAACATCTTAACTTTTTGGAAAAAAAAAAAGATTGAGAATCTTAGGCAGTTTTTTGGTCTAAAAGCCAGGGAGGTTAGAATTTCAGCTGAACCTAGAAGGGCAAATCACAAAGTCCTTACAATGTTTTAGGGGTTCAGAAAGCACTTTTTGTTTTACATGTGTTATCTCATTTGATTCTTGAAACAACCCTGAGAGATAGGAACTATCATTCCCATTTAATAGATGAGGATGTGTAGATTTAGAGAGATTAAATAGTTTGCTACAAAACATTGTCTCAGACCTAGTTCTTCTGGGTCCAAGATCAAAAGTTTTTCCATTGGCAACAAGGAAACTATTATTTATTGTACAATTGTGATATGCCCAGTGCTGTGTTAGATAATTTCCCACAAATTGGATGTTCAAACACACTCTGGGGAGAAGAGGAGGGCTGAAATGAGAAAAAGATATAGTGACAAAAATTCTGTGGGGGAAGACTCTATCCTTGAGTACCCATTCACTTTAGGAAAAGATCTGGAACCTCAGGAGCAGGATTAAGAACCAGTGTACGAGTTCCAATGGGGTGTTGGGGGCCTCAGCAGATGCAGGCCCCTTGCTGTAGGGCTTAGTGTGCGGTGGGGTGTTATCAGATGCAACCCCACAGTGCTCTGTAAAAGCAGCAAGTCTGATCCTGCTGCAGTATCTATCCACACTGCAGGTGGAGGGAGAACAAGCACTTTCTGTTTTCTTTTTCTTTTTTGACATTTTAATATGCAGAAACATACTCACTCTGTCCAAGTTGGAAACTCACATTCTGAGACATTTGATCCCAACTAAAGGAAGCAGCCACGTAGGAACCCAGCAGCCAGTCAAAAGATAAAACAAAACTGACTGTGCAGAAAAAAACGACACCAGGTATGTGCTATAGCTTGACCAGGAAAAACCTCTTTGACCAGAGCTTCATTATCGTAAAAACATCTTCTTAACTTTTGGGTCATTGCTCCAAGCGTGGCTTAGGGATCCCTACTTAAGTCATTAATCTAAAGATGATCTGCTTTTGGTCAAGATGATCCTGGCTTCTGACTTCGACATGAACACAGCCTCAAGTGGGGCCCTAAGATGTCACCAGCTGCACCAAGGGGATGGTTGCTTAATTAGCTAGATTCCTGACATTTAGAGTGATTAGGACTCACGTGCCTAATGCCTGGGGCCATCTAGGTACTGAAACAATATGCCTATTACACTATACGGTTAAATGGCTTAGCAGCAGAATGGATTTCAGCAAGTCACTGAAGCTAATTAAGCCAGCTTGGGTCAGTCTATTGGTTGGTGGTGAAATTCTGCGCTGGTGCCAATTCACAGGAGGCTGTGAATGGAGGAGATGAAGGTCAAATGCAATTGGGAGGGATCTAGTGACCCTTCAATAGGGCGGTGTGGCTGCTGCACAGTGGCTGCCCGATGGGAGAAACACGCCCAGCTTCAGGTCCCAGAGGCCAGGAGGACCCACTGGCCCCCACCTTAGCAGCTGATTGCTTCATAGATTAAATTAGAACAGAACCAAAGCCGGTGGTTCTCAGTCTTGGCTGCTCACTAGAATCACCAGAGGACCCTTAAAAATCTGATACCTGGGTCCTATCCCTGGAGATTTGTGATTTAATAGGTCTGAGGTGCAGGCTGGGCATTGGTGTTTAAAAGCTCCCCACGTACAGCCAGGGCTGAGGACCACTATTCAAAGCAGTCTGTTTCAAAAGGGCTTTTTTGGGGGGTGAAGGGGGTGAAATTTGGAGTTAAATGTTTTTTTGAGATTCAAACAGCTGTGTCACCTTAAAGAGTAGGAGGAAAAGGATACTGGGGGCTAGGTGTATTTCAGAAACAATCTCGTTTGATCCTCCCTTAAATTACGCAGCGTTTTTGCTCTCATTGTGCAGAGCAGTGGTTCTCA